AGGGAGTAAAAGGTAAAGGTAAAGAGGCTCCTGACCATTAGGTCCAGTCGTGACCGACTGGGTTCTCTCAGGAGTGCTCACCTTAAGGCCAGGAGAGGCGGGTCACCTGTGGGCCGGGACCGCCCCTGGCCTCAGAGGAGATAAAGGCCAGTCAGCCCAGTCCCAGGTTGCGGGAGCAACGTTTCTACCAGCACCCAGACCTGTTCTTCCGGAGTTCCCGACCATGCCCGGCTTCTTGCTTTGGACCCCGCTTCGCCCTTGGTGGACAGTCTCCAGACCCTCAACCCAGGACAGGACTCTGACCACCCCTCTCGGTAACCCCCCCCCTCGGGTCCAGCACAGGACCAATACACCCAACTCTCTCCTTCTTCAGTGCTCCAGCCTAACTTGGTGCTTTATTGGACACCCAGGTGGACAGAGCTGAGTGAGAGCAATCCCCTTCCCAGCTCATCTACCCAGGTCTTCGTAACACATGCCAAGTCAGGGCCCTCATCTGCAACAATAGAATTACACAACTGTAGACCGTTGGGATCCCTTCCAACTCTATGATCCTATGGTTCTACTTCAAAGATTCCTGAGTAAGTCGAGCAGTCAAGGAGTAAGAGGAGAGGTGGATCTTGTGGATCTTGAACTGGTTAAGTTGTAGGAAGCTAAATAAATGAGCAGTTTTCTGAATGGGGAGGCATGCATAGATGGGTCAGCAATCTTTCTGTGAAAGGGAAAGGGTTCTGTGGCACTGGGAGAAGGAGGAGAAAGTGCTTACCTAGAGGGTGGCTGGAGGCAGGTGTCAGTTGACCCCAAAGAGCAAGGAGCCCCACGAGGAGAAGGCCACTCCACCACATGGTGAACAAGCTAAGTCTACTGGCCAGCCCATGACTCACTTACATCTCAGAAAACAGGTTCTCTGGGGAATTCCCAAAGAAGGAGGTGAAGGAAGAAGAAACAGAGGTCAGGACAGGAAGTGGGACAGAGAGGACATTCTTTTCTTTCTAAGAAGGTTTTGCAACAAACGATCACAAAGCAGCTAAAGCAACCTGAACTATTTAGTATCCTCAGCAATCTTGGCCTCCTCACTGCTCATCCCATCTTTGGATTGTTTGTGAAAAAGTTGAAAAGCACAAGTCTCAATACCGGTTCTCGGGGAACTCTGCTTTCTATTACTCTCCACCTAGAGAGCTGTCTGGAGAACAGTTCCTCCTCTGCTCCCCCAGGTTTCCTTATGATACACCTGTGAGTCTGCAAGAGCCCCTCCCATCCAGAGCCCCAGATGGGATACACCTTCACGCCTTCCTCAGCCTCCAGCCTTACCCGAGGGAAGAATGGTCCCTAAGGGTGATTCAAGGCACCTCAAGGATGGAGGCAGCAAGTCTGGCTCAAACAGAGGACGTGGCAGCTCTTATCACCTGGCTCTACCTGTGCTCAGGTGTGCCAGGAAGCTCTGTAGTTAGAGCCTTCCTGGCACTTTTCCATTCTTATCTTGTGCAACAAAGAAGCATTTCCCAAAACTCTTTGGATAGTGCACTTCTGTTGATGCAGCTTAGAATAGCATTAGCCTTTTCCTCTTCCTGCATCACAGTGTTGACTCATGTTAAGTTTGTGAGCTATTAAGACCCCTAGAACTGTTCCACATGGTCAATGGAAACAAAAGCCAAAGAGAGATCTAGAAGCAGGAGCAAAGCAGCATTTCTGCACTACAGGGGGTTGGAATAGATGACCCTCGGGGTCCTTTCCAACCCTACTTTTCATGATTCCCCTGTCCTGCTCTCTGCAGAGGTCATCCATCAGGCCTGAACCCAGGTTGGAATGGGTCCAAATATTCGGCATCATTCAAGAATGCTTGCAGCTGCCACTAGCACAGCCTTCTCTGGGAACTTCTCCATGAAGGACTTGCACCCTGGACTTTAAGAAGGCCAATTTCAAAAAACTGAAGGAGCTACTGGGTGAGACCCCATGGTCAGAAATATTCAGTGAGAAGGGAGTCCAAGAAGGATGGGAGTTTCTAAAAGGAGAAATATTGAAGGCCCAAAGGCAGACAATACTAACAAGAAAGGAAAGTGGGGGGCATCTAAGGAAACTGGTGTGGCTCCATAAGGAGCTTGCAGATGAGCTAAGAAGGGCATGCATGAGAAATGGAAGAAAGGGGAAATCACAAAGGAGGAGTAGACACAAGTAGCCAACAGTTGTAGGTTGAAGGTCAGGTGGGCTAAAATTCAGAATAAGCTCAGGCTCAGTGGTTAAAAATAATAAAAAAGGTTTCTTCGGCTACATCTGAAGTAATAAATATTTTTTATTAATTTTCCAATATCGTTCCAATAGCAGCCTCATTATAACAATGTCAATTTTATCCAATTAATACAATTGTTAAAACCAATTTGTGTGTGTGTGTGTGTGTGGCCTCCTCACATGCTAGTTTTGATGGGTTCCTCTTTGTTTTTTATTTTATTTTCTGGGTTCCAAAATCTTAATAATTTCAATTGCACTCCCTTCAAGATAGCAATCCCTTGTATAACAGCTACAATCTTATGGTTTCAATTTGTTACGGTAAAATCTGGGTGCGAGGCTGCTCTGCCACCCAGCTCGTCGGACTAGGTCCGCGGGTCCCTGCAGAAGAAAATGAGCTCAGCCGGAGACAGGAGCAAACTGCAGAAGATCCAAGTTTATTGCGCAACAGGTTCAAGACGAGATTGAACAGCCAGAAAGGGGTGACATAAACTTTTGAAACTTCCCTACATGTCCCAAAATACAGTGCAAAATACATCCCAGTTACATCACGAATACATTAAGAAGAGGTTGGGTCACACAGGATTAACATATGGAGGAGGGAGGGGGGAATATGCGGAGCTGGAGATATGCGCAGATAAGCACATCCTGAGAAGACAATGGTCCATGTATGCATAGACTGTCACCTGGCATCGCCCGGAGGAAGGGCTTGGCAGAGCGATTTGACAGGATTAGGTTCTTGACACCTTGCTTGAGGGATTATGGAGGACAGGGGAGGTGTCATGGAGTCCTAGAGAAATTAAGCAAATTGGCACGTTGATTTTCTATGAATTTTATAGATTTTAGTCCCTTTTGACTGACAATTGGAAATAAATGGATATATTGTAGCGAAGAAGAAGGTGAAGAAGACATGCCCCCCCTTCCGTATCAAATTCATGTTAATATGTTAAGCAACATAAAGTTTCATGCATTTATTTAGCAACCCACACCATTAACATTCCTTTCTACTTTTGTGGCCGCACCAAGAGAAAGTGCTTTCAAATTAGGAGGAGAAAAGAACAAAGGATGTGACTAAAGGATGGAAGACGTGGGATAAATCAGCTAATGTTGAGCTATTCTGTGAAGCTGGACGCATTTCTCTGCTGTAGTAAGGGACTTTATGGAACTGCAAAAGCATATCCAGAAGAGTAGTCAGAAAGAGTTCAGCTGATGAAACCCCAGAAAGGAACATAAGATACAACTCATTCTTTTCTTGCACTAAATTATACAACATTTCAAATGGCAAGGTCCTCCAGATCCACTGGATGAGGCTACATCTAGCAGCTCTAAAAGGGGAAGGAAACCAACATGGATGGATTCCTCATCTTTTTCTAGTAGCATCTTTGCACCAATCTGCATACAACAGTGCCATTCCTAAGAAATGTGACAGATTCTAGTGCTTGGAAAACTTGTGTGTAGGAGAAGAGGCTACTATAATAACAGTTTCAAGTGAGGTACTCAGTCTGTAATTATTGTTCTTTCCTGCGTGTGGTAATCCCCCCCCCCAAATATTGTCCCAACCATATACAGTATGGTGTTGTGTCCTTCATTCCTCTGACTTTATGGTCCCAATCCATGGGGGTGGATGACTAAAGGGACAGAAGCAGCTGGCTCTGGGGCATTCCTGCCACAATTAATAATAATTTCAAGGGGTTGGACAAGATAATGCTTTGGATCCCTTCCAACTCTGCAAGTCTATGATTCTGTGAAACGAATGTGCTTTGTTTTCCCAAGAAGGAGGAAGACCATTGATGGGAAGAGCGTTCTTCTGAGAAAAGCCACCTGCCAGGAACCTCCACTTCCCAGCTGGCAAGACCCATTTCAGGGAACGGCTCCCCAGGCAGAACAAGACAGGCAGGCCTGGGATCTGCTGACTGGTGGCATGAAGTCTGCTCCCACCAAATCCTTCCTCCACCCCATCTGGCCTGCTCAGCATTCCAGGATTCCCAAGTGCAGAACAGAGGACCACAAGGGCAGGCAGTGTAGGGCTGGGATGACTGTCCACTGGATCTTCTCCCCAGCCCAAGTGCGGAGGGGCCGCCTCAGGTTGGGTCTTGTAGAAAGTCTGGCAGCTCCAAGGCAGCCACTTGCTCCAGCAGCCAAACTGAGCATTCTTGAGTCTCTGCCCCCCAGCAGCTTCTTCGAAGTTCTGCCCCCTTGAACAGGCCAACCCTCTCGTCTGAAGGTGGGCCCTCCATGCCTTCCCACCTGCTGCCCCCTCTGGGCATTTGGCCAGTGAGGGGCTGTGGGAAGCATTTGGTTCCTAGGTTCAGTGGAAGGACCCTTCTGGCTCTGGCTTTGTAATGTGAATTTCACAGTGTTATTATTTCCCTTATGGGGTTGGTTCAAACCACTACTCTGAATGCTTTTCACAGGGTAAACTCACTGGGGATGAGTTTATGGAACCAAGGGGGCAGTGACCCCAAAACATTTGGGAGCCACTGATCTCTACAAATATCTTCTTCCCTTCCAGGCCCAAATCTCACCAGCCCAGCAGCTGAGGGGCTTTGAGAGATGCTCTCCCCCCACTGGGGCAGCAGCGGATGTGGGGCTGCCCTTGAGGCCTCATGTCATGCGATGCAAGAACCAGACCCAGCACATGCCAGAAAGCTCAGGTTTTATTGGGGGTTAGATGATCCCACAGCAGCCTCCCCAGAGATAGAAGGAGGGGGGCATGGCAACACATTGATGTCTCTTCTGGGGTTGGGGTCTTCTCAGACAAGGTGATCACACTGAGGGACTCAGTCCTCCTTAGTGGGGTTTTCTGGGGGAAGAAAAGAAAAAGAGTCAGCCAAGTAATTGGGCATGTGCCCCTTAGGACAGGCAGCAGCAATGATAGAATAATAGAATTGTAGAGTTGAAATGGACCCCCAAGGGTCATCTAGTCCAACCCCCTTAGGGCAGGCAGCAGCAATGATAGAATAATAGAATTGTAGAGTTGAAATGGACCCCCAAGGGTCTAGTCCAACCCCCTGCAAGAAGGAATCTCATTTAAAGCATCCTTGACAGATGGTCATCCAACCTCTGCTTATAAACCTCCAAGGAAGGAAAGTTCGCCATCTTCCACTGTTGAATGACTCTTACTTTCAGAAGGTTCTTCCTGATGTTTAGTTGTAATTGCCTTTCCTGTAAGTTGCAGACATTGGTTGGAGTCCTACCATAGCTGTCAACTTTTCCCTTTTCTTGCAAGGAATCCTATTTGGAACAAGGGAATTTCCCTTAAAAAAGGGAAACGTTGACAGCTATGAGTCATATCCTCAAGAGCAGGAGAAAACAGGCTTGCTCCATCCCCCATGTGACAACCTTTTAGGTTTTTGAAGATGTCTGTCATATTTCCTCTCAGTCTCCCCTTTCCCAGGCTAAACATTCCCAACTCCCCCAACTGTTTCTCATGAGGCTTGGTTTGCAGACCCTCGATCATCTTGGCCGCCTTCCTCTGCACACCTTCCAGCTTGTCACTATCCTTCTGAAACTGAGGTGCCCAGAACTCAACACACAACTCCAGGTAAGCCTAGAGCAATACTATGACTTCCCTTGATCTGGACAATAGACTTCTGGTGAGGCAGCCTAGGATTGCATGAGCTTTCTTTGCTGTTGCACACTTTTGACTCATGCTGAGCTTGTGGTCTATTAGGGCCCCGTTTCCTTTTCACATGTACTGCGGTCAAGCCAGATGTCCCCCATCCCATGTGCTTCAGATCTGGCTCCTCTTGAAGCTCCTCAAGCCCCTTCCTCCATTGTGATAAGGGGGAGATCCACCATCCTTAAGTTCGTCCGTGCATAGGACAGGATGGTGCCAGCAGCCCAGCTGAGATAGACTCCTGTGGAGCCCCACAGTTTGCTCCCTGCCCACCACACACACACACACACACACACAGAGAGAATGAATCTTACCTAAGTTCCCGCAAACCATCATGCACTCTAGCATGGTACGAAACCGATTGCCATTCCCCCCGCAGAGCCCATAGATGAATATCTCGCACTTCCTGGTGGTTGAGTTGTAGTAGTAAAATTGTGAATAACCCAGACACGGGCCAGGGTCCTTTGGCAGCTTGCAGACCTCTGAGGCCACAGAAGGGGGAGAAAGAGGAAGCAGAGAGGTTTTTCTTAGGGCAGGAAGGTGTCAAGAGTTTTTAATTCCAACTTCATGTTCCCTGCATGCATTCCTCCGTAGGAATAATGCAAAGCCCCTCCATAAAGGGGGAAGGAGTCAGGGGCCACCAGGTGGCGCGTTGGAAGATGGCCGACAATAACATCTCTCTGACCCATACGAGGTAATTAAGGGGCTGCTATGGGAAGTATGCAGCCTTCCCACCCCCCCTGGAGGTGGGGGGGCACTGCCTTGCCAGCGGTGTTCACAATGCACCCCCTGATCCGAGAGATGGGGGTGCCAAACACTTGGCACGAGCCCTCGGTGAAGTCAGATCTTCCTGACGCCGATTCCAATTAGCGCGTGCTGGTTGCTTCAGCTCGGAATTATAATTGGAAACATACGATTGGAAATGAAGCTGAAGCACATACATCAAGTAAAGCTCGACAGATAAGACTGCTGATTAATGGATCTCTGTGACCGGGAGTGACGGATGGATAAGTAAATCTTCTGATGAATCACCACTAGGAGACTGTATGTTTGGAATGAAGGGGGGGTGGAGGAAAAAACTCTTTTTTTTCTTTGCACGATGTGATATTAATAACCCTTCACCCCAGAAAGAAATAAGATCGTCACATTTTTATTAATCATAAGCAGGATTTTAAGAACTGTGTGGGATGGATTACAACAGGAGAGAAGATTGGTGAACGGTGAGAAAGAGGAAAATTTTTATGATGCAGTTAAAAAATGGCGTCTCGCCAAGACAGGCTTGCCGGAGAAAGAAGAACAGGGGGAGGAGAATCAGGATCGTTCGAAAGAGAAGGAATGTTGGAATGCAAGTTTGACCTGACAGAGCCCCCTGATCTATTTGATTTATTTGGCTAGCCTGAGAAAAAATAAAGGACAGACCGGAGATTAATTTTGTTTATGGAAGCATTGAACAGAGGCTGCCCCTGAGCAATATGGTCTTTGAAGAGTATAAAACCCACACAGAGACGCCAGTTTTCAACCTGCTTGTGAAAATCATCAGAGATCGCAAAGAAAGGAATATATGATAACAACAAGAAGAGAAAGAAAGTAATAAAGGACTATCCGGATCGAACTGGATAGAACTGTCTAATTAAAGCAGTAAAATAAGTGATGCCTGGAGTTATCCGGAATTTTGGACTCGTGCGGAGCTTGATGTATGGGTACCCTCAACAAAATTTAAAATTTGGCTGTATAATTTGGAACTAATGTGATTTGAATAATGTGATGTGATTGGCCTGTTAATAAAAATTATTTTAAAAAAAAACAAAACATAAAGGGGGAAGGAGTCATGGAGCCTTTTCTTTCCAGGCAGAGAGGAATTGTGCCTTGGGCTATTTGGGCGAGTCCAGCTCAGGGACTGAATTTGAGGGACCTGCTTGTGGCAGCTGGTTCAGATCTCTGGAGCCCTCTTGCCTCTCAACCCTTTGCCAAAGCTCCCGCCCAAAGCTCTCCTTCCGAGGTCTGCATAAACACACCAATCCCGAAAAACCTCAATTTCAAAACATGACGAATCTCAGTGGGTGACTTGGGCCAGTGGCTTCCTCTCTTAGCCTCCCTCACAGTGTTGTTGTGGGGATTAAATGAGGAAGGGAAAGAACGACGCATGCAGCCGTGAGCTCCATGGAAATGAAGGTGAGCGATAAACATCATCAACGAAGCCAATAAAATGAATTTCTGGTGAGTCCCACTCTCAGTACCTGGGCTGATTTCCCCGCAGGCTTCCTCGCAGGCCTCCTTTGTCTCAAACATGTTGCGGTTGCCCAAGCAGCCACCGTAGATGAACTGGTTGCACTTCTTCTGTGACGGGTTGTAGTAGTAACGTATCAAGTGTGCGCTGCATATTCCATCTTCAGGCGGCAACTGGCATCTGTCACTGCGAACTGTTGGAGGCAGAATGAATGGAGGTCCATGAGGGGAGCTTCTCAGGCTCCAGGGCACTTAAGTTGGCACTGTGGCTGCTGCCTCCACCAGTTGCCCTGAGAAGAGAGGGTGGGGGGAGAAGGGGTCAGGGGCTTTGCCAGTACCTGAGTCCATGCAGCCCCGGCTGCACCCGGTGAAGCAGCACTTCTGGGTGAGAGGGCACTCTCGGTCGTCTCTGCAGGTGTCATTGCAGGGGGCAAAGGTGCGCACAAGTTCCACTTTTGGGCACACACCAGGGTGCTCTGGAAAAAAAGAGATGGGGAGATTGGGGGTGGGACTAATAATAATAATAATAATAATAATAATAATTTATTTTTATTTTTTTAAGTTTTTTATTTATACAACAAGAAAAACAAACAAACAAAAACACAAATACCGAATTACACACAAATTACAAAAATAACCATAGACACTTAATATTCTTAGCAAACAATAACACATCTATTGGTCTTAACACTAAAGACCCAACCTCCCGTCTATTCCATACTTCAAATTCATAATAATTATTGCCAATACACTTTTTTTTCATAATTAAACTTATTCTCATTAAATCTAATTTCTTATATCTACCTTGCAACTATTACTGAAGTTCCTCGAATGCTGCAACAGAATTTAAACTACTATATTTATTTTTCAGATATTCTTTAAAAACCTCCCATTTAGAAACAAATTCCTGTTTTGATTTATTTTTATTTTTCTGATAAACCATCTAATTCAACATATTCTGTCAGCTTTTGGATCCAATCTTGTATAGAGGGGATTTCATTACTCTTCCATTTTGCTGTGATCAAAACTCTTGCTGCCGCCGTCGCATATAAAAAGATACCCTTCCTCTTTTGTGGAATATCCAAATCTGTTATTCCCAGGAGGTAGGCCTCTGGTTTTTTATTGAAAGAGATCTTTAGCATTTTTTGCAGTTCTGCATGTATACTCTCCCAGAATACCTGTATTTTCCTACATATCCACCACATATGGTAGAATGTTCCTGAGTCTCCGCATCTCCAACAATTACTTGATACATTTTTATACATTTTTGAAAGCTTCCATGGTGTAAGATACCATCGATGTTGCATTTTTGAAAGTTCTCTCTAATCGTGTAACAATTTGTGAATTTCCAATTGATCTTCCATAAATTTTCCCATTGGGCCATGGTTATTGAGTGGCCAAAATCCTGGGACCACCTCACCATTGCCACTGTTACCTCCTCCTCCTTGACTGTCCAGTCAAGAGGAGTCGGTAAGTTTTGAAAAGAGTTTTTCTTTTAGAATTTAGAAGATCAGATTCGAATCGGGAAATTTCTGTTGAGAACCCCTTTTGTTTGTCAGATTTAAATTTTTCAAATAACTGATGGTATTGGAACCAGTCTGAAATGTGGTCTCTTATTTCCTCAAAGTTTTTAATTTTATTTGGTTATCTTCATTTTTAGAAGTATTTTATATGTTGGCCAGCTTTCCTGAGTATTTTTCCGTTTTACTGCTATGGCTTCTACTGGAGAAGTCCACCACGGGACTTTAGGCTCCATCAGGTCTTTATATTTTTCCCATACAGCAAAGAGTGACTTTCTTATTATATGGTTGGTAAAGTTTTTATGAATTTTCGCTTTTCCATATATTAGGTAGGCGTGCCATCCCCAACGGTTGTCAAAATCTTCCAGGTCGAGGAGGTCCGAATCCTGCAACGTGCACCAATCTTTTAGCCAGGTGAAACAGGCTGCCTCGTAGTAAAGTTTTAGGTCGGGTAGGGAAAAGCCTCCTCTCTCTTTTATGTCTATTAAGATCAGGTGTTTAATCCTAGGTTTCTTCCCTTCCCACAGGAATTTGGAAATTTCTCTTTGCCATATCTTGAGACAACCTGCTTCGCCCAGTATTGGAATCATTTGAAATAAAAAGATTAATTTTGGAAGTACATTCATCTTTATAATGGAAATCCTACCCAGAAATGTTAATTTTAGTTTACTCCAGGTTACAAAGTTTTTCTAATCTCCAACCAAGTTTTGGTGTAATTATCCTGAAATAAGTTTATGTTCTTGGGGGTGATCCAAATACCCAGGTATTTCGCTTTTGAGGAGATTTTCAGGCCCAATATTTTTTCTAAATCGTCCTTTTCTTCTGTGGTTACATTTTTAACAAGCATTTTTGTTTTTGTTATATTCAGCTTGAAGCCTGCCACTTCTCCAAATTCTTTAATCAATTCCAGCACTCTTTTCAGACTTTCTTTAGGGTTTTCAGTCATAACAAGTAGATCGTCCGCGAAGGCTTTAATTTTATATGTTTTGTTTCCCAGAGTGATGCCTTTAACAAGCTGATCCCTTCTTATCTGATTGTTCAAGACTTCCATCACCAAGATAAATATCAGTGGTGACAGTGGGCAGCCCTGTCTGGTTCCCTTGTTTATTTTGCACTCCTCAGTAATTCTTCCATTGATGATCAATTTTGCATATTGTTCCAAATAGATGGCATTTATTCCTTTACAAATATTTTCTCCCAGTCCCATTTTTCATAAACTTCCAGGACACATTATCAAAAGCTTTTTCAGCATCCACCAACATAATAGCTGCTGGTTTATCAATTTTAATATCCAAATATTCTAATACATTAATCACACATCTAATATTGGATTGCATAAATCGTCCGGGAAGAAATCCAGTTTGATCTTTATGAATTATCTCTTTCAGCACCATTTTTAATCTATTTGCAAGAATGTCTGCGAATATCTTGTAATCGTTGTTTAGCAGTGCAATGGGTCTATAATTGGCCATGTTTGAGGCATCTGTTCCCTGTTTGTGGATAAGAGTAATAAAGCTGTCCTTCCAGGTTTTCGGTAGCTTTCCATTTGCCAAAATATTATTCATTAGGTCTTTCATGGGAAGAAATAATGCTTGTTCTAACTTTTTATAGTAATTAGCTGGGAGACCATCTGGGCCTGGTGTCTTTCCTACTTTTGATCTCTGCATAGCTTGTTGCACCTCCATAGCTGTTATTGGTGAGTTCAAGATTTCAGTTTTTTCCTTAGGCATTATTGGTAGTTTATTTTTGCCCAAATAATCAATTATTTTTTCTAGAGTCTCTGGACCTTCTTTATATAGTTTTCCAAAAAGACTAGCAAAGCTTTTACTAATTTCCTTCGGTTCTTGAATCCACTTGTCTTCAATTTTAATTTTATTGATAATTCTACCTTCCTTTTTCTTCTTTAATTGCCAGGCCAAAAGTTTGCCAGGTTTAATTTATTTATACCCCGCCCATCTGGCTGAGTTTCCCCAGCCACTCTGGGCGGCTCCCAATCGAGTGTTAAAAACAATACAGCATTAAATATTAAAAACTTCCCTAAACAGGGCTGCCTTCAGATGTCTTTTAAAGATAAGATAGCTGCTTATTTCCTTCACATCTGGAGGGTGTTCCACAGGGCAGGCGCCACCACCGAGAAGGCCCTCTGCCTGGTTCCCTGTAACCTGGCTTCTCACAGGGAGGGAACCGCAAGAAGGCCCTCAGCGCTGGACCTCAGTGTCTGGGCTGGATGATGGGGGTGGAGACGCTCCTTCAGGTATACTGAACCGAGGCCGTTTAGGTCTTTAAAGGTCAGGACCAACACCTTTAATTGTACTCGGAAACGTACTGGGAGCCAATGTAGGTCTTTCAAGACCAGTGTTATATGGTCTCGGCAGCTGCTCCCAGTCACCAGTCTAGGTGCCGCATTCTGGATTAGTTGCAGTTTCCGGGTCACCTTCAAAGGTAGCCCCACGTAGAGCGCATTGCAGTAGTCCAAGCGGGAGCTAACTAGATGACCCTTTGTAGCCCTTCCTACTTGACAGAGGCATGTGTCCAGCTTTACCTCTGGACAGGAAAGCCCATGGATGGCCCTACTAAGTCCCTCCATGCTGGGCTGTGCAACATCACCCCCCTTAAGTCCAGGTTCTCTGACTTTCCCTGCTCACCCACCCACTCCATAAAAACACAAGAAGAGCCTTCTGGGTCAGGCCAATGGCCCATTTTCTCCAGGGGCCAACTGGACGCTTCAATGGGAAGCCCACAAGAAGGACCCAAGCACAACAGCCCTCTGCCCTCATGGGGTTTCCAGCAGCATTCAGAAGCATTGTTGCCGCCAACCGTGGAGGCAAACAGAGCCATCCTACTAGAAGTCACTGAGAACCCTCTCCTCCTCTGCGAACCTGCCTTTTAAAGCCATCTAGTGTGGAATCCAGACACGTATAAGAAAGGTTGTGAAAGTGCTTTTTGAAAAACAGTTTTGAAAAATATGTGGAATTTGCCATAGCTCACCATCACCACCTAGTGTTACATTTGTATACTGCACTTTACAACACACTGAAAACGTTTTATTTGCAGCTGTATAGCTGAGTCCCAGGTTGGTGGCCGCCATCGCCTCCTGTGGGAGCGAGTTCCATAGTTCAACTATGCGCTGCTGTGTGAAGACATCCTTTCTCCTAATGAACTCCTGTGTTTACAGCTTCATATGCATATCTCTGGATATTTCTGAAATGCGCTAGGTGGCCCACGCCACCAAGAAAAGCCCTGGAATTGTGTTTGGTATGCCAGGACTCACTCCTGGAACATGTGAGGAAATCACTGAAAGAGGGAAACATCTGAGCATGTGCAGAGTTCATTTCCCCCTGTTATGCTCCTGCAACTGGCAGCCTCCACCATACAGCTTGGCATTAGGGAGTGGAGACTGCGTGAGCGGCAGCCAAGTGGGCTTGAGCCCCAGCATCTCTTCCTGGGCAGAATTTAACACTGGTTCTCCCATCCACAAGCACCCATCTGCTCCCTTCCCTAATCAGGTCCCCATCTCTTTCCCCACCCAAGAAATACCTTCTTCAGCCACCTGGCAAGTCTGTCCACACCCGTTGCTGCAGCACTTCTGGACTGGCAAGTAGAGTCCTGAGCCACAGTCCTGGTCGTTGTTGCAAGTCGTTGAGCAGTTCGCAGCCTGGTCTGGCTGGGGGCTCAGCCTGGGGCAGGAGCCGGGCTGGGCTGGGGATGAAAGGAGAATGTAAGAAGCTAAGAAGGGCCTGCTGGATCAGGCCAATGGCCCACCTAGTCCAGCTTCCTGTTCTTGCAGTGGCCAACCAGGTCACCCAAAGGGGATCCCTGCCTGAGTTTTCCACCCAAATAGACACCAAACTCCCTTGTGTGTATGGATGGGTGGTCAAGAGCACATCTGGGTCAGAAGGTGAGGCAGATGGGAGGTTCCTGACTTCATTTCTCCCCCCACAAAAGAGGGGCTGCTGCCCCTCTGCTTACCCTCAAGTGGGCGCATGCACTGATGCCCACAGGCAGTCTGGCAGCAGCGCTCGCTCCCTGGGCAGCTGTTGTCCGTAGAGCAGAACTGGCCGCACTGGGTGTCATTGTTTTGGATTAGAGTAGGACATGTGCCAGGCTTCACTGTGATGGGGAAAGAGAGAAAGAGGGAGAGAGAGAAAGAGGGAGAGAGAGAGAGAAATGGATTACTAAGCCATTACTAAAATGGATTACTAACCATTTATAACCTTAAAATTCAGATCATAGAATCATAGAATCATAGAGTTGGAAGAGACCACAAGGGCCATCGAGTCCAACCCCCTGCCAAGCAGGAAACACCATCAGAGCACTCCTGACATATGGTTGTCAAGCCTCTGCTTAAAGACCTCCAAAGAAGGAGACTCCACCACACTCCTTGGCAGCAAATTCCACTGTCGAACAGCTCTTACTGTCAGGAAGTTCTTCCTAATGTTTAGGTGGAATCTTCTTTCTTGTAGTTTGGATCCATTGCTCCGTGTCCGCTTCTCTGGAGCAGCAGAAAACAACCTTTCTCCCTCCTCTATGTGACATCCTTTTATATATTGGAACATGGCTATCATATCACCCCTTAACCTCCTCTTCTCCAGGCTAAACATGCCCAGCTCTCTTAGCCGTTCCTCATAAGGCATCGTTTCCAGGCCTTTGACCATTTTGGTTGCCCTCCTCTGGACACGTTCCAGATGGGTCTGCAAAGCACACACCTGAAGCATCGAAAGTCAGGGGAAAGAGATGCATCTTCAGCCTCCTTCAGAAGCTGCACCATGGAGGTGTCATCTGCTACTGAGTCAGGTTTCAGGTCCTGGCATTGATTTACAAAGCACTGAACAACTTGGGTCCAGGAGAGCCCAGGGATACCTGAACCCTGATATTCCAGCTCGATCACTGAGATCATCTGCAGGAGCATCTTTGGTCATTTCTTGGGTTGCTGAGGCTTCTTTGACAACAACCAAGTTGTCATTGGCCCACTCCTGTGGAACTCCCTGCCACTGGAGACTCAGCAGGAGCCTTCTGTGCCAACATCTAAACACCTGCTGAAAACTTTTCTATTCTTCTAGGCCTGTACAGGAAATTGAGAATATATTCCCCCACAATGGTCTGCTGGCGTTTGTTTCTAATTTGTTTTTTGTTTTTAACTTTTAACGTTTATGATACGATACGATAATCTTTATTGTCATTGTCTCATACAGAACAACAAAAGTGAAAAAATCTGCAACAGACATTCAAAAACCAACAAGCTTGCTATCCCAGCTATCCCAGCCTGGTTAACCCCCTAGAAACTCTGATACCCCATAATTAAATACAATATACTCCCACAGAGCCTACCTTACACTTTGTTTAAAACCAAAATCGCATTTGGATTGAAACTGTTTCTCAGGCGGCTAGTCCTAGTCTTTATAACCCTGTACCTTCTTCCAGAAGGCAGAAGCTGAAAGAGATCATTTCCGGGGTGCGCACTATCCTGCGCTATCTCTGCAGCTTTCTTACGGCACCTGGAAGCGTAGCTTTGATCCAAGGTGGGAAGAGTGCACCCAGTTATTCTCTCTGCAGTCTTTACAACCCTGGACAGCATTGTTTTTTCCCTGACCGTGCAGCTCCCAAACCACACGCACAGACCATAAGTTAATACACTCTCAGCAATACAATGGTAAAATGCCATCAACAGGTCCTTTGAGAGATTGTTTTTTCAGAGGATAATTATTTTATTGCCTGTTTTTATGTCTTTATATTGCTGTAAACCACTGTGAAATGTTTTATTCAACAAACAAGCAGTACAACTTGTGAACAGTGGTTTTTATCTATGTATTTTTATTTTGTTCCGTTTTATTGTGGTTTGGGGTGGGGATTGGTTTTGTTTAGGTAGAATTGTTTTCGGTTTGTTTTGTTTTGCTATTTTGTAAATGGAGGCTTGTATGGAGGCTTGGGATTGCTACCGTGGAGGGCGAGGGAGGTATGGTGGTGGGGGCAGATGTTATAGGCAAGGGGATCGAGATACTGGATATGCTCGTACCCCTTCCAATCTGCGCCCCATCCCGAGGGACGAGGGTAGGGTGAGCAAGGATTACTCACCTCCGTCACTGGTGTTGTGCAATGCCAGGTCTATAGGCAACAAAACCGCCACTCTGCGAGATTTCTTTACCTCGCAGGGGGTCGACCTGGCTTGTGTGACGGAGACCTGGGTACGCGAAGGGGCAACAGTTACCTTACGAGAGATGGCGCCCCCGGGTTTCTCCGTCCTCCACCAGTCACGGACTGTGGGCCAGGGGGGCATGATTAATCCGGGAAGATTGTCCTTTCAGGGCTCTACCATCGCCATCGATCCCCGGCATTGAATGTGTTGGCCTAGTGTGGGGCTCTGAGGTGAGCTTGGCTGTCTGGCTGGTGTACCGGCCACCTAGCGCACCAGCAGCCACCCTGTCAGGCCTGCTGGAGGCGGTGGCCGGCTGGGCCTTGGAGTTCCCTAACCTATTGGTATTGGGGGACTTCAACATCCATGCTGATGCCACTCCCTCCTCACAGGCTCTGGACCTGGTGTCTTCCATGGCGACACTAGGGCTCTCCCAGTTTGTTTCGGGCCCCCCACACATCAAGCAGGCCACACGCTGGATTTGATCTTTGGCATAGGTATAGATGTGATCATGTCTCCTTCAATTAAGGTGCCATGGTCTGATCACTACGCTCTGAAAGCCAGGATTGACTTTCCACCCCCACCCTGCTTAGGTGGCGAGCCGATTTGGGCTCGCCCGCAGAGGCTGATGGACCCTGATAGATTCCGTCAAGCCTTGCGGGACCTTGCTCCCCCTGGCGACTCATTGACTGAGCTGGTTGAGGGCTGGAATACCCAGCTCCTGGCAGCCATAGATGAGATCGCACCTAAGCACCCTCTGCGACCCCGCAGAAACCAGGCTCCCTGGTTTACCGAGGAGCTTCGGAAAATGAAGCGGGACCTCAGACGGCTAGAGCGAGTATGGCGGGGTGCCCGTGACGGAGCCTCAAGAACATCTTATAGGGTTTTTATGAAAACCTATGAGATGGCGGTGAAGGCCACTAAGAAGTCTTACTTCTCGGCCTCCATTGCATCCGCTAGCTCTCACCCGGCGCAATTATTTAGTATAATTAGGTCTTTAACGTCCCTTGAAGGACAGCCAAATTTAAATAACAATCTGACACACAGCTGTGAGGCATTTGCGAGCTTTTTGCGGAGAAGGTCCTGTTGCTCCGCCATGACCTCCCTGCCAATTTGGATACAATAAAGGAACTGGAGGCCCTCGACTGTCCTCGGGTCCAGTATTGGACCACTTTGATCGGATATCCCCAGCCGATGTGGACAGACTCCTCCGAGCTGGAAAGCCCACCACCTGTCCTCTTGACCCGTGCCCGTCTTGGCTGATTAGAGCGTGTCCAGACGAGGTGCGGGCCCCCCTGCGGGATATCATCAATTTGTCCCTTGGCACCGGGATATTTCCAGGGGAATTGAAGGAGGCAGTGGTGTGCCCGCTCTTAAAGAAAACATCATTAGATCCCTTAGATCTATCCAATTACCGCCCGGTTTCGAATCTTCCATTCCTGGGTAAGGTGATTGAGAGAGCGGTTGCTGAACAGCTTGGTAGGTTTCTGGATGAAACATCGGCTCTGGATCCATTCCAGTCTGGCTTCCGCGCTGGTCATGGGACCGAGACGGCTCTGGTCGCCCTAACAGATGATCTCCGCAGGCAGCTGGATCGAGGCGGGTCGGGGCTGCTGATTCTTCTAGACCTGTCAGCAGCCTTCGACATGGTTGATCACGAACTCCTGGACCACCGCCTTGCCGACGTGGGGATCCAGGGCACAGTCCTTCAATGGCTGCGCTCCTTCTCTCCGGTCGGGGACAGAGGGTGGCGCTTGGGGGAATTGTCATCCCGCCACTCCTTGGTGTGTGGAGTGCCTCAGGGTGCGATACTCTCCCGATGCTTTTAACATCTTTATGCGCCTCGCCCAGCTTGTCCGGAGTTTTGGGCTGGGCTGCCATCAGTATGCCGATGACACCCAACTCTATCTGTTGATGGATGGCCATCCTGACTCGGCCCCAGACACACTGACCAGATGTTTGGAAGCTGTGGCTGGATGGTTACGTGGAAGCCGGTTGAAGTTAAATCCTTCAAGACAGAGGTCCTCTGGCTGGGACGGGACGATATGGGATTGGGGGCAACTCCCATCTCTTGCGGGGTGCAATTAGTGCCAGCACCGTCCGTTAAGAGTTTGGGTGTAATCTTCGATACCTTCCTCTCTATGGAGGCGCAGATTACAGCTATAACAAAGGCGGCATTTTTTCATCTCCGCCAAGCTAAGCAGTTGGCCCCTTATCTCTCTCGCCCTGACCTAGCCACTGTGATCCACGCGACGGTCACCTCCAGACTGGATTATTGTAACTCGCTCTACGTGGGGCTGCCCTTGAGACTGACCCAGAAACTCCAGCGGGTGCAGAATGCCGCGGCGAGACTCCTTATGGGGTCTTCGCTGCGAGATCACATTCATCCGGTACTATACCAGCTGCACTGGCTCCCGGTGGAGTACAGGATCAGGTTTAAGGTGCTGGTTTTAACCTTTAAAGCCCTATACGGCCTAGGACCCTCGTACCTACGGGACCGCCTCTCCTGGTATGCCCCACAGAGGAACCTACGGTCTGCAAATAAAAACATCCTGAAGGTCCCAGGCCTCAGAGAGGTTAGGCTGGCCTCAACTAGAGCCAGGGCTTTCGGCTGTGGCTCCAATCTGGTGGAACGCTCTGTCACAAGAGACTAGGGCCCTGCGGGACCTGACATCTTTCCGCAAGGCCTGCAAGACAGAGTTGTTCCACCAGGCCTTTGGTCAGGGCCCAGCCTGACTCTCTCCTCTGGCAACCTGCACAGAACTTTGCTTACCGGTTGCCATTAATTTGATTTTAATTAATTTTTATAATGAAATGTTTTAGAATGTTGGATTATTACAAATTCAGATACAAAGAAATAGGTCAAAATGCAGCAGCATCAATAAAAAGGGACAATTAAAGCCAGGTAGCCGAATCAATAAATCCTGCCAATCTACGTAGGTGTCCCCCTGTCCCAGGAAGCAGAAAGGGAGCCCAGCTTGCCACAGGGGCATGGACACACCGTGTGGGGTCTCCCCTCCTTCTCTCAGCTTCGCACCACGTGTGTCACAGGAGCAGAGGGAGGCTGGGTGCTGAATCAGCCTGTGGTTGGGGGGGATGCCTCTCTCTAGCAAGCAGATCCAAACTGAAGTGTCATGCATGGAGGAAAGCCCCAGGGCCAGATCTGAGGCCTGCCTGCCAGGACTCCTTCAGCCAAGAACAGGGAGTGAGCGATGGCTCCTCCCAGGAGAGGGAGGAACAGATGTTATCTGACCCGGCAGAGGCAACGTAGCTCAGGTGGAAGAGCGTGAGACTCTTGACTTCAGGGTCATGGATTTGAACCCCACGTTGGGCAAAATATTCCTCCATTGCAGGGGGCCCTGGTGGTCTCTCCCAACTCTCCCTTTCTGTGTTTCTATGATCCTACGAAGGTTCATGCTAGCTTCACTGTTAGGAGAGAGGCAGCGGGAAAACAGCAATAAAATAAAAGCAGAGCAGGAGTAGGAGTGAGTCAAGCAACAAGAAGGTTTCTGTGAACACATCATAGACAGCGGGGCTCTTAAATAGAGGAAGTGTCAGATCATTGCTACACCTTGCCCAGTGTTGTCGGCACTGGCTGGCAGTAGACTTCATGGGAGGCTTTCTGCCCACTGAGCTTCAGTCCCACCCCAAAAGGGGAGAGAGGGAAAGACCAGGCGGAAACTATTAGCTTCTGATCACAGAATTATCAGAGGGTAGAGTTGGAATAAATAAACACATTGTAACAATATGTAAAAGCAGCACAGCTACAAAGTGACTCATAATATCTATGTCTGACCAATAGCGCTATTCTGAAATGGTTTGGGTGAATTATTGTTATCAGGGCTTCTTTTCAGCCAGAACTCAGTGAGTTCCTCTCAGGTAGGTGTCATTGCCATTCTTAGAGAATGAGTGAGGTGTTCATGGTGAGTTATGACACCTCTTTTTCTAGAAAAATAACAATTCTTCTTAGAATCATAGAATCATAGAGTTGGAAGAGACCACAAGGGCCATCGAGTCCAACCCCCTGCCAAGCAGGAAACACCATCAGAGCACTCCTGACATATGGTTGTCAAGCCTTTGCTTAAAGACCTCCAAAGAAGGAGACTCCACCACACTCCTTGGCAGCAAATTCCACTGTCGAACAGCTCTTACTGTCAGGAAGTTCTTCCTAATGTTTAGGTGGAATCTTCTTTCTTGTAGTTTGGATCCATTGCTCCGTGTCCGCTTCTCTGGAGCAGCAGAAAACAACCTTTCTCCCTCCTCTATGTGACATCCTTTTATATATTTGAACATGGCTATCATATCACCCCTTCTTCTTCTTCTTCTTTGCAAACCACCCTATACCTCAAGTCTCAGGGCAGTTCACAGGATAAAGTCACAATATAAAAACACAAAATACACAATCAAACAACCCCCCAATAAATGCCAACCCAATAAACCACCCCCAAAGCATTTTAAAAGGGCATTGGGAGGACAATCAACTAAAGGCCTGGTTAGTGAGGAATGAGAGACTCACCTAGAGGCATCTGACCAGACACAGGAGCCTGCTCACCCCAGAAGGCAAGGAGCGCAACCAGGCAGAGGCTGATGGACTTCATGGCGAAGCAGGTCTGAGTCCCCTGCCTGTGCCCAGAAGGCTTTATATCCCATGCAGAAGGAACTGACAGCACATTTGGAAATCTCTCAGCTCCACCCAGAACGAACAGAAAGCAGAAAGGAATGGATTGGTTGGGAAAGGCTGGAGAATCTGAGTGACTGGAGAGGAACGTTTCCAAGCCAGCACCCCATTTGTAGGCAGGCGATGATGACTCTGCTGAGTCCCAGGTGTGGCCCTTCTGTTATCAAAATGCAAAGAATCACAGAAATGAGGAGCTGCCTCCAGGCGCTTCCAAGCACCAGGGGAAGTGCAGCCAAAACCCAGGAGACGTGATGCCAGCCTTGAGTCTGGGTGGCCTTGTGCTTGGGGCATTCAGAAAGAGGGCATCAGTCATGCCAAAGGGGAAATGGCACCTTGGCTGCAGGAGGCAGGTGTATTCCTCTCTCCAAAGTGGATGTCATTGCCCACCTGGCTGCTTTCATGAGAAGAAGAGATTCCAGGTGAGGTGGGAACAGAGCTGAACTGGGAGAAGGAGGAGAAAGTGCTTACCTGGATACTGGCTGGAGGCAGGTGTCAGTTGACCCCAGAGAGCAAGGAGCCCCACAAGGAGGAGAAGGCCACCCCATCACATGGTGAACAAGCTAAGTCTACTGCCCAGCCCACGACTCACTTATATCTCAGAAAACAGGTTCAATGGGGGATTCCCGAAGAGGGTGGTGAAGGAAGAAGGGACAGAGGTCTGGACAGCATGAATAAAAAGGGACAACCCAAGCAAGGTAACTGCCAATATACGTAGGTGTCTCCCTACGTATTGGAAAGGGAGCCCAGCTTGCCACAGGGGCATGGAGACACCATGTGGGGTCCTCACTCCTTCTCTCAGCTTCCCACCACATGTGTCACACGAGCAGAGGCAGACTGAGTGTTGAGTCAGCTGTGGTTGGTGAGGATGCCTCTCTCTAGCAAGCAGATCCAAACTGACGTGTCATGCATGGAGGAAAGTCCCAGGGCCAAATCTGACGCCTGCCTGCCAGGACTCCTTCAGCCAAGAACAGGGAGTGAGCGATGGCTCCTCCCAGGAGAGGGAGGAACAGAAGATGTTATCTGACCTGGCAGAGGCAATAAAATGAAAGCAGATCAGGAGGAGGAGTGAGTCAAGCAACAAGAAGGTTTCTGTGAACACATCATAGACAGCGGGGCTCTTAAACATAGCAAGTGTCAGATCGTTGCTACACCTTGCCCAATATTGTCGGCACTGGCTGGCAGTAGATTTCATGGGAGGTATTCTGCCCACTGAGCTTCAGTCCCATCCCAAAAGGGGAGAGAGGGAAAGACCAGACGGAAACTATTAGCTTCTGATCACAGAACTATCGGAGGGTAGACTGCAAGAAGATCAAACCTATCCATTCTGAAGGAAATCAGCCCTGAGTGCTCACTGGAAGGACAGATCCTGAAGCTGAGGCTCCAAGACTTTGGCCACCTCATAAGAAGAGAAGACTCCCTGGAAAAGACCCTGATGTTGGGAAAGATGGAGGGCACACGGAGAAGGGGACGACAGAGGACGAGATGGTTGGACAGTGTTCTCGAAGCTACCAGCATGAGGGAGGCCATGGAAGACAGGAGTGCCTGGCGTGCTCTGGTCCAGGGGGTCCCCAAGAGTCAGACACGAATAAACAACAACAAGAGTTGGAAGGGACGCAAAGGGTCATCTGGTCCAATGCAGGAGTCATGGCTTAACAGGACCACAACTTTAATATAGTTTGAAAAACCCATGCAGTGTACAAAGGGGGAAAAATGAATAAACACATCGTAACAATATGTAAAAGCAGCATAAGAATACAACCATACAGCCACAAAGTGACCCGTAATATCTATGACTGATCAATAGCACTATTCTGAAATGGTTTAGGTGAATTATTATCAGGGCTTCTTTTCAGCTGGAACTCAGTGAGTTCCTCTCAGGTAGGTGCCATTGCCATTCTTAGAAAATGAGGGAGGTATTCATGGTGAGTTCCGACACCTCTTTTTCTAGAAAAATAGCACTATTCTTATTCTTATTATTATTATTATTATTATTATTATTATTTGCAAACCACCATGTACTGCAAGTCTCAGGGCAGTTCACAGGATAAAGTCACAACATAAAAAATAGTTAGGAATGTTTTTGCCTGGTGCCTAATGGTTTATAATGAAGGTGCCAGGCGAATCTCCCGGGGGAGAGCATTCCACAAACAAGAAAGACCCGATGCCAGCCTTGAGTCTGGGTGGGCTTGTGCCTGGGGCATTCAGAAAGAGGGCATCAGCCATGCCAAAGGGAAAAGGGCCCCGTGGCTGCAGGAGGCAGGTGTATTCCTCTCTCCAAAGTGGTTGTCATTGCCCACCTGGGCTGATTTCATGAGAAGAAGAGGTTCCAGGTGAGGTGGGGACAGAGCTGAACTGGGGCTGGGGCTGACAAGCCTCACACCCCAAAGAACATAAGAAGAGTCTGCTGGATCAGGCCAATGCACCATCTCATACCCTCCAACATTCCTCAGATGAAAACAGGGACATTTCTCACTCCATCACAACTGACCCTCCTTGACCCCCCCCATCCCCTCGCAAAATACTTCCTATCAGAAGAAGGGCGAGTGCCGCCGCCGCCAGTCTAGCTTGGTGATTTACTGGGTACTCACTTGTAGAAACCCTGCCAGCTCCAAGGCAGCCACTTGCTCCAGCAGCCAAACTGAGCCTTCTCGAGTCTCTGCCCTCAGGCAACTTTGCCCAAGGTCTGCCCCCTTGAACAGGCCAACGCTCTCACCTGAAGGTGGGCCCTCCATGGCCTCCCACCTGCTGCCCCCTCTGGGCTCTTGGACCAGGGACTGTGGGAAGCACTTGGTTCCTCAGGTACAGCAGAAGGCACCCTTCCAGGTGGCTGCTAATAATAATAATAATAATAATAATAATAATAATAATAATTCTAAATAATAATAGTCATGATGATGATGGAATCTAGATAGACTGCCTCTGGCACTGGAGGTCTCACCAAGGTCAAGGCTGCCTTGATTTCTAATCGGCAGTTTGTGTGCAGAAAAAGATTAAAAAATCAAAGTCCACTTTGGAAAGCAACTCCCCTGGAGGAAGGGTATTTCCCAAGGTGCCCGCAGAGCAAACGAAACTGAGGAAACGGCAGGAGGAGAAAGGGTGATGCCAAGGAGGTGGGTTTGATTCCTATAGGTGCCAGCTGTGAAAGATGGGGGACTCCCCAGAGGTCATCTAGCTCATCCCTCTGCAAGGCAGGAATCATAGCTATTAAATCCTAGAATAACTGACAGGGAAAGGACCCTGAGGGTCATCTAGTTCATAGGGTGTTGCTTAGGGATTGCTATTCAGCCCCGTGGAACCTTCAATGTGGCATTCCGCAGGGCTCAATCCTGTCCCCCACATTATTAATAACAACAACAACAACAACAACAACAGCAACAACAACAACAACATAGATGCTTAACATCTATGTGAAACCTCTAAGTGGGATTATCTGGAGGTTTGGAGTCTGCTGTGAGCAATATGCTGATGACACTCAGCTCCGTTTCTCCTTTACATCTGCAGGTGAGGCAGTGGAAGTTCTGGATCAGTGTCTTGCCTCAATAATGGAGCCAACAAACTGAAGCTCAACCCAGATAAGACAGAGGCCCTGTTAGTGGGTGGTTCCCTAGAACAGATGACTGGGAGGTTGCGTGCTCTTGATGGGGTTACGCTTCCCCTGAAGGAGCAGGTTCATAGCCTGGGGGTCCTCCTGGATCCTTTGCTGTCACTTGTGGCTCAGGTGGCCTCAGTGGCCAGGAGTGCCTTCTATCAGCTTTGGCTGGTGGCCCAGCTACGCCCCTATCTGGACAGAGACAGTCTAACCCCTGTTGTCTATGCTCTGGTAATCCCAAGGTTAGATTACTGCAATGCGTTCTACGTGGGGCTGCCTCTGAAGACAGTTTGGAAACTTCAGCTAGTGCAGAATTCAGCGGCCAGGTTGCTCACCAGGGCAAGACGGTTTGAGCCTATTGCACCAATCCTGGTCCCACTGCTCTGGCTGCCAATTAGTTTTCAGGCCCAATTAAAAGTCCAATTTTGACCTATAAAGCTTTAAACAGCTTAGGACCGCAATACCTCAAGGACTGCCTATTTCTATATGAACCTACCCGGACCCTGAGATCATCTTCTGAGGCCCTTCTTTGTGTGCCTCCTCCTTCAGCGGTCCAGAGGGTGGCAACACGAGAACGGGCCTTTTCTTTTCTTTTTGTGTATAATTTTTATTAAATTTTCTGTTTTACAATTGAGAATATTCATTTAAACAACCTGAAAATGTCAGTGACTTCCCTTGTTCTCTTTCCATAGTTCATTTCGCATATCATAAATTCCTTCATATTTTACATAAACTAAACCATTCAGTCATCCATTATTACATCCATCAAAACTTGTTTGCACTGTTGAATTTATCTTAATGCTGCCAACGTTTTCAAGTGTACACAAGGCAAGAATCACAGTTATAAGAACATGGGATGGTACAATAGGATGGGATGCCACGGGTCATGTAGCCCAAACGGCTGCAAGGCAAGAATCTCCAATAAAAGGATGGTGGACTCCCCGACCCCATAGCAGTGGGGTGGGTGAGGATGTACCCCAAAGGGCTACAGCAGCTGACTCCATTCCGCAAAAGGGCGAAAGAAAATCCTGCTTTACTTGGCCCATAGCTAAACCCTGGAACTCACAGATGCAGGAGGTAGTTTTGGCCACCAGCTTGGACGTCTTTAAAGGAGAGGTCGATAAATTAACGGAGGAGAAGAGGGATGAGGACGACTCTCGGCCATTACAGCTCTGTTTCTTGAATATCCCGTTGGAGGTTTCCAAGCAGAGGTTGGGTGGCCATCTGTCCTGGAGGCTCAGGTGGAGATGCCTGTCTCGCAGGCGGTTGGGCTGGATGGCCCTCGGGTCCCTTTCCCCCTTTCCCCACCACTCTGGGCTCCCAGAACCCGGCCACTCTCGTCTCCACTGCCCAAGCCCTCAACACTTCCGCAGCTGCTTGGCCGGCGACAGCAGGAGGGGAGAGGGGCGCCACTTTCGAATTCGAATCCTTTTCGGGCTCTGCAAAGCGCTTCCTGCTCCACCGAAGGCTGCTCTTGAGTTCCAATCCTGCTTGCAATGCGCAAAGAGCCTCCCGCTCTCATGTTGTGTAAAGCGCCTCCTTGCCTCCGAATCCTGCAGCCTTTTGAAAGGCCCGCGCGCGCCCCTCCGGCGAAGATCCGAGTTGGAGAGCCACTCCTCTCCTATCCGACGGAACTCACCGCCACCTCTCCAGGATGGCGAAGAGCAGAAAGACCACCAGCAGCGGCAGGAAGAAGACCAACAGGCTGAGCGTCTCGGCGGCCAGCAGCCCCAGCAGGACCAACCGGTAGAGCCAGCGGCTGCGCCGCTCCAGCCGCTCCAGCCCCTGCACCATCCCGAGCGGGTAGCGCAGGCAGGGCAGGGCGCCGTGCTCCGGGCGGCTGGCGCGGAAGCGCATCTGGAAGCGGTGCTCCAGGCGGCCCCAGGCGCCGGGCCGGCGTTCGGGCAAGGGTTCGAATTCCGCGCGCCCCGCCGCCGATTCTTGCGGCGACTCGAGCAAGAGCATCTCTTCCTGAAGCTTCCGGATCTCCCACTCCATCACCGGCGTCTTCTGGCGGCACAGCGGGCAGCGCGCGCGGCCGATTTCAGCGGCGCCCGACGCCTCCAGGACAGCGCCCAGGCAGCGCGCGCACAGCTCGTGGCCGCAGTTCAGGCGCGACGGGCGGTGGACGTCGCCGTCGTAAAACTCTGTGCAAATCGGGCACTCCGCATCTTCCTCTCCGTCGGGGGACGCGCGGGGCAGCGCCGAAGGAGGCTCGTTCTCGCCCGTTCCCGCCGCGCCGTTCGCATCCTCCGGTCCACCGGGCGCAGGGAGAATGCAGTCGAACTCCCCTTCAGACACCGACGCCGGCCGCTCGGGCTCAAGCGCGGCCCCGGGGAGCCCTGGGGACTTTCTGGACGCGCTGTCCTCCTCGTCGCCACTCCTCGCCGCGTCTTCGGGCACCACCGGGTCTCCTTGCCCTGCTGCCGAGGCGACAGTGGTGTCATCTTCTCCCGGCGCTCCCTCCTGGGCCTGGCAAAGGGTGCCGGTGTCCCGCGGGCCGCCCTCGCCTTCCTCCGGTGCGGCGAACCCCTCCGAACCGCTGGGGCTGGTGCTCGAAATCTCCGCGGGCGAACCAGGCCCGGGGCCCGCGACTCCGCCGCTCCAGGCCAGGCTTCGCTCCGTTTGGCGCCGCCGAGGTTCCGGGTTCGAGGGCAGAGAGCTGCGCCAGGCGGCCCCTGGCGATCCTCGGGGGCCTGTTCGGGGGTCCGTGCACCCCACCGGTGGGTGCGGCTGAGCGTCTCGGAGTTCGCCGGCGTCTTTTTGCCCGTGGAGCGGTGAGAGTTTTCGGCTGCCAAATAATACGAGGACAGATTCCCGACGGACCGGTTTGGCGACTCGCAAGGCGGCTGTTTCCGTATCTGGAGACAGGCGCGACCTGCTCCACAGAGGAGGCCTTTCAGGTGGGCGGCTGCTCAGCCGAAGCCACCCACGAATCTTTCGACGGAACGACCTGGCGCCCTTGGGCTGTTGGCTTGTTTCTGACGGAAGGAAGAAGAGGTCGATCCGAGGACGGAGCCCCGGGGATGAAAATGTGGTTCTCTCTGCCCCCTCAAGCCACTTCATGGTTCGAGGAGAAATGTCCTAAATCGTAGAAGGGGAGGAGAGGAGAGGAGAGTGGGAAAGGATCCTTCAGATATAAAAGCATAGAGTGGTACAATAGAATGGGATCCCGAAAGTCATCTAGCCAAAACCCCCAGTGGGGCAAGAATCAGAGAGATAAAAACACAGAAGGGGAGAGTTGGAAGGGGCTCCCAAGGGTCATCTAGTCCAACCTGCTGTAAAGCAGGAATCAGAGCTATAACCTCCTAGAAGGGAAGCCTAATGGTCATCTAGTCCAACCCCCCTGCCCATAGAGTTCCTCGGTTGGCTCAAACCACCAACCTTCTGCTTAACAGCCAGACACCCTTAGTCATTGTGGCACTTTCAGGCAAGGTGAAATAATAATAATGTTGTTATTGTTTTGTTGTTTAGTCGTTTAGTCGTGTTCGCCTCTTCGTGACCCCCTGGACCAGAGCACGCCAGGCACTCCTGTCTTCCACTGCCTCCCGCAGTTTGGTCAAACTCATGCTGGTAGCTTCAAGAACACTGTCCCACCATCTCGTCCTCTGTCGTCCCCTTCTCCTTGTGCCCTCCATCTTTCCCAACATCAGGGTCTTTTCCAGGGAGTCTTCTCTTCTCATGAGGTGGCCAAAGTATTGGAGTCTCAGCTTCAGGATCTGTCCTTCCAGTGAGCACTCAGGGCTGGTTTCCTTCAGAATGGATTGGTTTGATTTTCTTGCAGTCCATGGGACTCTCAAGAGTCTCCTCCAGCACCAGAATTCAAAAGCATCAATTCTTCGGCAATCAGCCTTCTTTATGGTCCAGCTCTCACTTCCACACATCATTACTGGGATTAGCTTGAACCATATGGACCTTTGTTGGCAAGGTGATGTCTCTGCTTTTTAAGATGCTGTCTAGGTTTGTCATTGCTTTTCTTCCAAGAAGCAGGCGTCCTTTAATTTTGTGACTGCTGTCACTATCTTAGAATTACAATTCTATTATTCTGGGGTCACTAGGATGTAAGTTTGAATTGTTTATTGCACAGATGGATCCCTTTACAGACTTAACACTTGATGATCTTATTGGACATTTAATATAATGTGTAGAGAGAGAATAGCAATCTCCAATAAGGAGTTCAAGACATTGTAACTCAAGCTATGTGTCCCAATTGAAAGAAGGTGGGGCAAGGCTCAACCCAGAAAAGTCATTTGCTTTAATTGCAACAAGGAAGGACATGGGGCAGTTTTGTAGAGCCCCCAAAGCAGGGAAATCTTCTGAGAGTAAACAACCAAACCAGAACACATGAATCTCACTGCAACCAGTAGTGATGAGAAATCAGACAGATGGTTGATAAATTTGGGGTGGCCACTTCACCGTTCATAAGCAATATAGAGTTAGGGTTGAACGCTAGACTGCTTATGAACCGGGGGGGGGGGGGGGAGCACATGTCCCAAAAGTGATCCTTGGGGGAATCCACTTTCTTCACCCCTCCATTGCGGGAACTGTTCATTTATTCCTACTCTCTGTGGAGATAAATTTCCACAGCTACTAACACTACATGTGACCTTCCACACAGGGTTGTTGTGAAGATCCATGGGGAGAATGATGAACATGAACAAAGAGCTGACCTGAAGCCACTTCCTCTTCACTTTGTTCAGCCTCCAACTGGATTCAGTCACCCAAAAAATATTCTTAATCCTGCTTAAGTACTTACAGTCACTCTAAGCACTGAAAGCACTTGCCGTCACATTTCGTAACTAAGGAATAGGCATTGCACAGAGCCATCTAGTGGATGCCTCTGAAAATTCACAGCATTCCTTCTGCAGAATCAAACTGAACTTACTCTGCATAACTGTGGCAGCTGTTGGCTTCCGTGAGCTTTATCGGGGCAGGAAATTTTCAACTGCTTCTCAGAACTTTGCCTAATTAGACCCAGCACTAACATATCCCCCAATTGTACTTGTGGAAGACTCTGGAAGGTGGTTTTGAGGGGCTGGGGGAGATATTCAATGAATTGATTAAACAATTACAGGTATGACTTTTCCTACAAGGGCAGAACCTCTCCACCAGCTTTAACTATCTCTCTCTCATCTACAGCAGAACCCGGGTGGAGACCCAGGATCATTGTCCCATCCTGCATGGTGTCTAATGCTCTAGAGGTTAAGGCACATCTTCAAATCACAATGCCATAAACACAAAATCAAAGAGGCTCTTCTCTTCTCTCATTCCAATAAAGAATAGTCATCCCATCCCACTTAGTCTCCTTCTTGAGGGTTTCCCCCTTCTCTTCTGAAACCAGCTCCTGCCTTTTGCCATATTGCTGCTCCCAAGTGGAGAGGGAAGGGGCTGAGAGCGGGGGCCACTTTCAAGAGGAAATTACTCAATGAAGTCAGGGTGTCCTTTTGGCATCCTGCAGTTAAGGCTGCAATCGTGCACACACATGATTCATCAAACATCATCATCATCATTTATTATCTATACCCCGCCCATCTATCCCCAGCTACTCTGAGTGGCTCCCAACTAAATATTAAAAGCACGATAAAACATCAAACATTAAAAACATCCCTAAACACCGGAGGTTTGATCAAGCCTTCCACATCCCTCAAAGTGGCTTCTGCAAATCATGGTAGCACCCATTGCCACTGAAAATGGCAATTAATCAGGTTGCATGCCACCCCAACCTCCAAGCAGTGCAAGAATCCAGGGGAATCAGTCACTTACCCAGGCATTGGTTTCCTTGGATTCAGGGACAGTGGAAACTATGGTGTCTTTATGATATATTTATTTACACATATACACAACTTAGCAACTCTGCAAGTCTATGATTCTGTGAAATGAATGTGTCTTGTTCTTACATGGAGGAGGAAGGGCATAGGTGGGAAGAGCATTCTTCTGAGAAAAGCCACCTGCCAGGAACCTCCACTTCCCAGCTGGCAAGACCCATTTCGGGGAACGGCTCCCCAGGCAGAACAAGACAGGCAGGCCTGGGATCTGCTGACTGGTGGCATGAAGTCTGCTTCCACCAAATCCTTCCACCACCCTGTCTGGCCTTCTCAGCTTTCCAGGACTCCCAGGGGGAGGCAACATAAGCCTGGGATGACAAGCCACTGGATCCCCATTCCCAAATGATTCTCCAAGCCAATGCTGGGGGCTGCCTCAGGTCAGTGTTGAGATTTCCATTCCACCTTAAGGAGCAGACGTGTGGAACTGTTGCGTGTCACATGTCTGTTTACATTCCAGCACAGCCTGCTGGGAACTTCCATTGTGTGTATAGCTTTTGCTTTTCCCTGTCTCTCTGAGAAGACGAAAAGAGAAAGACGACATGTTTCTTTGTCCGTAGTTGTAGTATGCTTTCACAAGCCTCATGCCTATTTTGTGTGCGCAGTTCACTCTGCTGATAGTGTGCCCTGGCTCTGAAGCCCAGGTCGCTGATTTACGTCGGAGCAGAGGCTGATGGGTCTTCACAGCGGCATGGCTGGAAGGAGGCAGCCAAGCTGGGGCTAGCCAGCTGGCCTTGCGGCCCTCTGCATGTCTACAGTCAGGTCTTGTAGAAACGCTGACAGCTCCAACTCAGCAGCTTGTTCCAGTGAGCCAAACTGAGCCTTCTGAAGTCTCCGCCCCCAGGCAACTCCTTCTAAGCTCTGCTGCCTTGAAAGGGCCAACCCTCTCGCCTGGTGGGCCCTCCATGGCCTCCGACCCATTCCAACCCCCTGTGCTGGTTGCTGGGTGATTTGGGAGCCATCCAAAGTGGGCTTTGCGCAAGCTGCACCCTATTTCTCAAGGCCGCCCATACCTGTATCGCATCACGTCCTGGACAGGGGGGTATGGCTTGCCCCAAATGACCTTGAGGGCCAAACATGGAAGGCTGGTGGGGCAAGATTGGCAGGTGGGTTGAAGGTTCCTCAGCCCTGCTCCATTGGGACAATAAAGTTGGGGACAACACTGGAGAAGGAAGCAGGGAACACAGACAAACAGAGTCTAGCATGCAAATGAGTCAATGCCTTTATTGTGCAAAAGAGAAAAGAGGGTGCCGGATGGAGCAAATTTTGCTCAACCACCAGAAACCTGATAAGCTGGTGGAAAGCCAAGGTCTCTGATCATGGTGCCTTGATTGCCATATTTGGAGAGGTCAGCAGGTCTTCAGATGATACAGTCTAAGCTCCACTCAATGTTTCTGGGCATCCGATCCAGGCAAGGTCTGCTGCAGAAGAAGAAGAGAAGAGTTTGGATTTGATATCCTGCTTTATCACTACCCAAAGGAGTCTCAAAGCGGGTAACCATCTCCTTTCCCTTCCTCCCCAACAACAAACACTCTGTGAGGTGAGTGGGGCTGAGAGACTTCAGAGAAGTGTGACTAGCCCAAGGTCACCCAGCAGCTGCATGTGGAGGAGCAGAGACGCGAACCCGGTTCCCCAGATTACGAGACTACCGCTCTTAACCACTACACCACCCTGGCTGAAGGGAAGAAGACCAAGAAGACCAAGAAGACAATGGACAGCTGCAGCTTCCACACACAAGCTCAGTACTAAAGTCCTTTGAGCCATTGCAAGTGCTCTCCACTGCACATGATGAGTGGGCAGGGAGAATCATCCCCTCGTCTTCTCTAAGGTGGCCAGTAGCAGAGTCAACCACTTAGGGTGTGTGGATTCCGGTGGCAGATGCACCAGCCCTGGCAGGCAGAAAAGCCAGAGGAGCAGGGCAGCCACTGCAGTCTGTTGCCAGGCCTTGTGGACTGCTCATTCACCAACTCTCATCATGCCTGCATCAAGCTTGCAACTCCACCTTCCTGTGGCCAAAGTGCAGTGTGGCAACTATTTCACTATTTCATATATTAGATAGATATTGAGGGCCATCTACAACACCTCCAAATATATACATTAAACAGAAGAAATTCGGGAGAGAAGGAAAGGCCACCAAATATTCTGAGCTCTGAGTCAGGCTAAGGATCCTATCCCGATGTATGTGTTTGAAATGGTATGTGAAAGGTCATGCATTTAAGTTGTGGGTAGCAAAGCATAGACAGAGTTACAAAGGAAAGGCTCCCAGATATTTTGAGCTCTGAGACTCCAAAAGCTTCCACAAACCCCAGCCATTTTGGCTCCTGCATTAAAGAAAAAGTCTGTCCCACTGCACACCACCAAATTAAAAATCATCTCACCTTAGACAGGATTACTGCAATCCCGTGGGCAACTGCCGCAGCACTTCTGAACACCGGGGCAGGACCAGTCATCTTTACACCGTACAATGCAGATTCCCACACCTGGATTCGGGGGGCATCGTCCAGGCTTCCCTGCAAAAGAACAAAACTCCTGGTGACCCTTGGGCTCCCTTCCAACCTGACAGTTCTAGGGTTCTGTGGCTGAGAGATGCCTTTTGGCCAGAGATACCCTCCCTGTGCAGCTGCAATGAAGTTCTCTCGTGTCTGGAACCCAGAGGACCCCAGCAATCCTCAAGTGGGCACTGTCATCTTCAGAGGTCTGCCTGGAACTCCCCCAAAACAAGACATCCCATTGACACAACCACCCGCTTCTCCTTTGCTGTTATCTTGAGAAGGAGAAAGGAAGGCATTTGTCGATGAGTAGACAATGCTGGAGATCTTGATAGAAGCAGATGTTCCTGCCAGCACATTGGAGGAAGAACTGCCTTGGGAGGAAGAGAAGAAAGTTCTTACCTGGCTTCTGGCTAGAGGCAGGTGTCAGTTGACCCCAAAGAGCGAGGAGCCCCACAAGGAGGAGAAGGCCACCACAACGCATGATGGACAGGCTTTGTCTGCTGCCCAGACCACCAGCTGACTTCTTGATCTTAGGAAGCATGTTATATAGGGAACTCCTGAAGCAGGAGGGACAGAGGAGGGGACTGTAAGTGGGGCAGAGTGGACATTCTTTTCTTTCCAACATGCTTTTGCAACAAACTGTTGTAAAGAAGCTAAAGCCGTTTTGTGACCCGCAGGCAGTACTGGACTCTAGGAAGTGCAGCAGGAAGTGCAAATTGTCCTTTGTCATCTCCCTGGTAAAAATCCCCCATAATTGAGATTCTTTGGCCTTAGGACGTATCTGATCTCCCAGGCCTTTTAAGACCTTTGTACTACAGGTGGCAGTTATACCTGTCTATGCATTTAATTACTAGCTTTCTTTTCCATTTTCAGTTCTGTGCTGTGTATTATGCTTTCCTGTGCTAGTTTTCTTGAACTGTTATTTTATTTATTTATTTATTTATTTATTGGTTTTCACATATTACATTACAATACAGATGTACCAAAGCCAACACCATTTCCTCCCCATCCCCCATACATTTTCATTTATATTTCCTCAATTCATCATATTATTCTTTTCTCCTTCCTCCCACTTCCCTCTGCCCCCACTTGATTTCCTCTACATTATACAATTTACAATTTACAATAATTTACAATTTACAATAATCCTTGAATCCTACAATCCTCTCAAATCATCTATATATTCTTATTATCTTTCATTACTAATTTTTCTTCCATCCAGTACTTCACATTCTAATCTAGGCATATTAGCGTATCTTTTTTTTGAGCAATATTTTGCCATATATTCATCAAAACATTTCCACTCCTTTTTTAATTTTTGATTTGACTGATTTCTTATTATAGCAGTTAATTTTGCCAAATTAAATATTCATTTAGTTTACAAATCCATTCCTCCTTTGTGGGTATAGTTTGTGACTTCCACCTAGCAGCAATCACTATTCTAGCAGCTGTACTTGAATATAGAAAAATTCTCCCCCCCCCCCCGTGGTATCTCTTCATCTATCAATCCAAGGAGATATGTCTCTGGTTTCTTTGTTATTGATATTTTCAACATCTTTAGTTCTTTAGTTCTATCCAAAATTTCTTAATTTCCTCACACTTCCACCACATATGTATTGTTGTTCCTGTTTCTCCACCAAATCTCCAACAGAAGTTGGATTTCAATTTATATATCTTTGCCAACTTAACTGGCTTTAAGTACCACCTATAGAACATCTTTACAAAATTTTCTTTAATTGTATATGAGGCAGTAAATCGTATATCCTCTCGCCAGAGTTTCTCCCATTGCTCTAGATAGATAGTATGTCTGAGATCCTGAGACCTTGAACTGTTATTTAAGCACATTTTAATAACAGGCTTTGCCTGCTGTCCAGACCACAGGCTCACTTATATCTCAGAAAACAGGTTCTATGGGGAATTCCTTGAGCAGGAGGTGAAGGAAGGAGGAACAGAGGTAAGGGCAGCAGGTGGGACAGAGTGGACATTCTTTTCTTTTAACCAGGTTTAACAACTAATGATCAAGGAGTAAGCCATACCACTTCTTGTGACCTTGCTGCAGGGATTTCCGGTCCCTAGGAAGGAAGTGAAAATTTCCCCTTGTCATCTCCCTGGTAAAACAACAGCAACCCATCACTGAGACTCTTGGGTCTTAGGACATTTCTGTTCTCCCAGATCTTTTAAGACCTTTGTGGTACGCGTGGAGATTAGACCTGTCTATGCATTTTATTACTAGCTTTCTGAAATATACTCTGAGTCCTGTAGTGATTTCATGCTCTTTATTGCAGCTTGTAAAACAGTGATTCAATTGCCTCCCAAACTCAGGCTTTTATGTACATCATTTACACAATGCGTCCTGTCTGATTGGCTGATTGACAGTAAGAGCTGTTCGACAGTGGAATTTGCTGCCAAGGAGTGTGGTGGAGTCTCCTTCTTTGGAAGTCTTTAAGCACAGGCTTGACAACCATGTGTCAGGAGTGCTCTGATGGTGTTTCCTGCTTGGCAGGGGGTTGGACTCGATGGCCCTTGTGGTCTCTTCCAACTCTATGATTCTATGATTCTATGATTCTGCTTCCCTCTGGAGCCTGATTGGTCTTTTCGTGCAGGTCAATCTGTTGTTGCATTCTAGGATCCTACCAGTCTAATAAGGTCTCTGGTAGGGTAACAACAACAGCTACAACTACAACAACTACAGCAGCAGCAGCAGCAGCAGCAGCCCTTTCCTCATTTACCTGTTTACTCTCTCTTTAAGCCAGGAGATCATGGATCTCTCTGCAATTTTGGCAAAAGCTGCTAATACTTGATTAAATCCCAAAGATCAGGGGTGGGATTCTTTTCCAGCTGACAGGCGGGATCCTGGGCTCCCCCATCCCTGGCAGGTCACTTTGATAGGTGAGTGAGGCAGTGGTGGTTATGCTACCAGGGACCTTATGATGAAGGGCAGGTCACAACAATTTTAAAATGTGCTTAAACAACGGACAATTTTCACTTCTCCCCTGCTGCCCTTCCCAGAGTCCAGTAATGCATGCAGGTCACAAAAAGCCTTAGCTTCTTTGTTGGAAAGAAAAGAATGTCCACTCTGCCCCACTTACAGTCCCCTCCTCTGTCCCTCCTGCTTCAGGAGTTCCCTATATAACATGCTTCCTCAGATCAAGAAGTCAGCTGGTGGTCTGGGCAGCAGACAAAGCCTGTCCATCATGCGTTGTGGTGGCCTTCTCCTCCTTGTGGGGCTCCTCGCTCTTTGGGGTCAACTGACACCTGCCTCTAGCCAGAAGCCAGGTAAGAACTTTCTTCTCTTCCTCCCAAGGCAGTTCTTCCTCCAATGTGCTGGCAGGAACATCTGCTTCTATCAAGATCTCCAGCATTGTCTACCCATCGACAAATGCCTTCCTTTCTCCTTCTCAAGATAACAGCAAAGGAGAAGCGGGTGGTTGTGTCATTGGGATGTCTTGTTTTGGGGGAGTTCCAGGCAGACTTCTGAACACAACAGTGCCCACTCGAGGATTTCTGGGATCCTCTGGGTTCCAGACACGAGAGAACTCCTTTGCAACTGCACAGGGAAGGTCTCTCTGGCCAAAAGGCATCTCTCAGCCACAGAACCCTAGAAATGTCAGGTTGGAAGGGAGCCCAATGGTCACCAAGAGTTTTGTTCTTTTGCAGAGAAGCCTGGACGATGCCCCCCGAATCCAGGTGTGGGATTCGGAAGACCAAATCCTCCTCTTTGAATTTTATCCGTTTAATAACTTGAATTTTATCCGTGGCTTCTTCTTTTGCTTTGGGGTGGAGGAGCATCTTCAGTTTGCCCCTGAGTTTTGCCATGGTGCATGTTATGTACTGAAGTTCTCACCCTGGGCCAGCAGGGGGATACTGTAGATAGTTATGCAAATGAAGGATCGAAAGTGACGTTCAGTGATTGGATAGTTTTAGAAAGTTGCTACAGTTAAGTTGTTCTGGAGCTCTATATAAGCAGGCTGACTGAGCTCTTCAGTTCAGTTCTGTTCCAGCTTACAAATAAAGAGCTGTTTTGGAAGAATCGCTGTGTCGTCTGATATGTTCACCCACAACTTAACAGTCCAGGCAGCTTTCAGGGACCCAGGCTGAGCCCTTCAGGGGACTTTGGGAGGGCAGAAGAACCTCCCCCACTAGAGCTCCACCGCAGAATCACAGAATTGTAGAGGCGGAAGGGACCTTGAGGGTCATCTAGTCCAAGCCACTGCAATGCAGGGATCACTTTGCCTCCCTCTCTGCTGCCAGTGCAACTCGGAATAGCATGGAAGGGCATCCTGGCTTGCAGAATAGCAGCCCCAAATCCCCTTCTCCCTTGGGAGTTGGCAGGTGTGGTTTCAAACCACCCTCATCACTCTGGCACCGCTGTGGAAAGGCTGCCCACAGCTTTTCAGCCGTTGGGACGGTTTGTTTCAAAACCTGGTGAGGGAGGAAAGAGGTTGCACTCTGTCCTGCTCAACACCTTCCTGGGCGTGTTGTGGTTCTGCAATCCCCTGATGCTTCTGGGAGATATAAAGAGAGAGAAGCCAGGCTGGGCGATGGACTGCCCTCTTAGCCTGTCACACCATGAGGTCTGGTGGCTTGGTGCTTCTTGTGGGTCTCCTTGCCCTCTGGACTGAGCTGACACCCACCTCTGGTCAGAGGCCAGCAGGTAAGAGATTGGGTGAAGGCAGGTGGCATGTGTTGTGAAGTGGGAGCCTAGACAGGGTTAATGGAGCCAGAGGGACTGCAGAAAACTCACTTCCTGGTCCCTGGTAAAACTGTCAGGCATGTTCTTTGTCAAGGAAGCAGCAGAATGGGTGACTGGACTAAGAAGGCCAGGACTTCTTTGGAGAAGCCAATTGGTCCAAAACAGAGATGATGATATTTAACTATGAAGAAGATGAAACATGAAATTTTTTGAAGGAAATAAAAATAGATGTAAAAGTAAGAAATGTAATCAAGTACTTGGGAATAAATATAACAAGAAATTAAAATATTTAAAACAGGCATAGGCAAACTCCGGCCCTTTAGATGTTTGGGACTACAATTCCCATCACCCCTGACCACTGGCCTGTTAGCTAGGGATGATGGGAATTGTAGTCCCAAACATCTGGAGTGCCGGACTTTGCCTATGCCTGATTTAGAACAAGAGAATTTTAACAAATTAAAGAAAGAAATTGAGGAAAAGCTAGAGGAATATAAGAAAATTAATCTTTCATGGTTTTGAAGAATAGAGATTATTAAAATGAAAATTTTGTCTAGACTATTTTGTTATTTAGAATGTTACCAGTTAAGATATCAGAGACAGAGATAAAGGGTTGCAAAGCATGATGAATAAATTTTGTAATGGGGATAAGAAACCTTGAATTTATAAGGCTGTGAAGGACTTGCTCACAAATGTATTGACAGCTGCACAAATTATTATAGCTAGGAAGTGGAAGGGGCAAGCAGAATATAAAATGGAAGAATGGTATAAAGAGGTATGGGATACAGTGGTACCTCGGGTTACAGACACTTCAGGTTACAGACTCCACTAACCCAGAAATAGTACCTCGGGTTAAGAACTTTACCTCAGGATGAGAACAGAAATCGCGCAGTGGTGGCGCAGCAGCAGCAGCAGCAGGCCCCATTAGCTGAAGTGGAGCTTCAGGTTAAGAACAGTTTCAGGTTAAGAACAGACCTCCAGAATGAATTAAGTTCATCACCCGAGATACCACTGTATAGCTATTAATGATAAATTAGCATGGGCCACTAAGGTAAGACGGGGAATATGCAGGAGAAATTATTTTGAGGAGATATGGAGGGTGCTTGTACAATTTGTGCTGTTAAAACGGAAAAGGGGTCAAACCACCGCAAGAAATCTTGGGAAATCAGATAGTTACAATGGAATGGTCTCGGGGGTTGGGTGCACAATGTTTATTTATGATTATTACTTGTCCCCCCAAAAAAGAAAATTTTAAAAGGGGCTCTTACAGGGGAGGGAGGACCAAGAGGTAAAGGGTCTGGAAACAAAACGTTCTGAGGAATGGTAGAGGGAGTTGGGTCTGCTTAGCCTGGAGAAGAGACGACTGAGAGGAGCTAGGAGAGCTATCTTCAAATACTTGAAGGGCCACCACATGGAAGATGGAAAAAATTTGTTTCCTGCTGCCCCGAAAGGCAGGACTTGTTCTGCTCCTGAGCTGCTGAGAGTGCAGGGAACACCTTAAGGCATAGGTGGGGTGCTATTGGGAAGTCTAGTTTTGTGTGACACCTCAGACCCCTGAGCAAAACAGAGGCCACCTTAGGCATCCTGGGCTCCTCTGGCCACTGGATGCAAAGGAGCCCCATCCCACATGAAGAGAGAGAGCCTCTCTGGCCAAAGACATCTCTCAACCTTGGAATTCTGCTCTGTTGCAGGGAAGCCTGGGCAATGTCCTGGGGGTCAGCCAGGTATGGCTGGACCCTGCGTGGTTTGGTGTAAGAATGACTGGTCATGCCCTGGAGCTCAGAAGTGCTGCGGGAGTTGCCCACGAGCTTGTGCTAATCCTGTCAGAGGTGAGACCATTTATTCTGTGGAGGGAGGGGTGGGATAGGAAGCTCCTCCTCTTCATGAACCAAAGCCATTGTGACTTATGAAGAATTGCAGAATCTCTATACTCAGAAGTGCTTACCTGGATTCTGGCTGGAGGCAGGAGGCAGTTGAGGCAAGGAGCCCCACAAGGAGGAGAAGGCCACCACAATGCATGATGGACAGGCTTTGTCTGCTGCCCAGACCATCAGTTGACTAGAACTTTCAGGTTGGAAAGGGAGCCCAAGAGTCAGTGAGGGCTTTGCTCTTTTGCAGGGAAGCCTGGACGATGCCCCCCGAATCAAGGTGTGGGAATCTGCATTGCACGGTGTAGAGATGACTGGTCCTGCCCCGGTGTTCAGAAGTGCTGCGGCAGTTGCCCACGAGATTGCCGTAATCCTGTCTTAAGGTGAGATGGTTTTGAATTTGGTGGAGGGTGGGGTGCAGTGGGACAGACTTTTTCTTTAATGCAGGAACCGGAATGACTGGGGTTTGTGGAAGATCTTGGAACCTCAGAGCTCAAAGTATCTGCTAGGCTTTCCTTCTTTCCTCAATTGCTGGATTGAATGAACTAATGCTTCTGTTTAATGTATGTATTTAGATGCCAATATCTACCTAATATATAAAATGATGAAATGTTGCCACACTGCAGTTTGTCCACAGGCAGGTGGTGTTGCAAACTACAGAAGGTTGCTGAGATGTGGCAGTTGGGCAACCCAGACACGCCTGGCAACAGACTGAAGCAGCTGCCTTGCTCCTCTGACTCCTCTGCCTGCCATCTTATGCAGAAATGACTTGTAGTTTTAATATGTTGTTGGAAGCAGCCCAGAGTGGCTGGGGAAACCCAGCCAGATGGGTGGGGTATAAAATAATAATAATAATAATAATAATAATAATAATAATAATAATAATTTCAAAGCAATCCATTGCAATCTACTGCAGCCTAACCGGACGGCCCTTCTGAATTGCTCACACAAACATGCACACACACTTCAATTTGTAAATCTGTCTATGCTTTGCTACCCACAACTTAAATGCATGACCTTTCACATACCCTTTCAAACACATACCTTTGGAGAGGATCCCTAACTTGGCAGGGAGAGAGAGAGAGAGAGAGAGAGAGAGAGAAGAAGAAGAAGAAGAAGAAGAAGAAGAAGAAGAAGAAGAAGAAGAAGAAGAAGAAGAAGAAGAAGAAGTAGTACAGGGCAAAGTGTGCCCTATTGAATCAATACATGATGTAACATTTAACATCAAAATATGGAAGGATCCTTTATTACACAGGATGGGTGGAAACCCTAGCAGTGTGTGGGAATGCTGTGGATAGTAGGAGAGGATAGCTTGACTAAATATTATCACGCTACTGAGTCAGAAGCAGAATACATTCCCCGGTATATAGCAGAAAGCTGGTTGGTAGATTCGTTTGAATTTCTTTACTTAAGCAATCCAATCTGGCTTGTCCAGATTGGGTTTGATCCTGGTAAATTCCCCTTTAATCCCTCTTAAAAAGAGTAAAGACACAACAGTCTTCTTTCAAAAGTAACGATAAGAAGTTTGCTTACATTCAGTTCACAGTGGGTTCCCTGAAGGAAGGCTTTAGCGTCTGGTTACAGAAAAAAATGTGGCTTACATCCTTTGTGAGGATGACCCCATGTGCTGCTGGCTGAGAGCCTGTAGACAGCAAAATATATCAAGATAAGAGCGTCAAGAGAAAGAATGGCTTCAAGAAAGATGGCTGCATGACCAGCCTTTTTATGGGGTCTCTCAGGGTCATGCCCATCTACCTGGTCACATGCAGGGGGAGGATGCTCCAGACCAGGTGTGACAGGAAGTCCTCCTGGCTGGACCAACATTCTCCTGTGTGACGCTTCTAGGCAAACAGGGAATGTTGTACTTGATTGCTTATGTTACATCTCACACAGTGAAGGGCTCTTGCAATGGCCAAAAGGACTTCAGTATTGAGCTTGTGTGTGGAAGCTGCAGCTGTCCATCGTGACCCTCTTTGTCTTCTTCCCTTCAGTTTCTCTGCCGCAGAAGACCTTGGATGGACCGGGTGACCAGAAACAATGAGTGGAGCTTAGCCTGTATCATCTGAAGACCTGCTGACCTCTCCGAATGTGGCAATCATGTCACCACAATCTGAGACCTTGGCTTTCCACCAACTTGTCAGGTTTCTGGTGGTTGAGCAAAGTTTGCTCCATCAGGCATCCTCTTTTTCTTTTGCACAATAAAGGCATTGACTCATCTGCATGCTAGACTGTGTGTGTGTGTGTGTGTGTGTGTGTGTGTTTTCCCTGCTTCCTTCTCCAGCGTTGTCCCCAACTTTGTTGTCCCAATGGGGGAGGGTTGAGGAACCTTCAGCCCACCTGCCAATCTTGCCTCACCAGCCTTCCACGTTTGGTCCTCAGTGCCATTTGGGGCAAGCCATACCCACCTGCCCAATACCTGATGTGATACATGTATTGAAGACCTTGAGAAATAGGGTGGGGCCATCACAGAGCCCACTTTGGAGAGCTCCCAAATCACCCGGCAACCATTGTCCAGAACCATTGACACACTGCCAAGTGGAGAACAGCACCAAGCAGAATTGCACTCCATCCCATCAGCTGATGCGAAGGGGGAGTGATCCTGCTTAGCACTGGGTTCAGGTTCACAAGAGAGCTCTGCACTCCCAAACCCAGTACTAAGTAAGCAGAATTATTCTCCTTCCCCAATCTGCTGGTGGCAAGGAGAAGTGATTCTGCTGAGTGTTGGCCCACCAGAGAACTCCCTGCAGAGGAGTTCCAGAGCCCAGTGAGGACCCAGAATCTGGGTCAGGGTCTCCAGAGGCTCCTGCTACGGAGTTCAATGAGACACAGGGCTCTGAGCTTGTCTCTGCAGGCTGGGAGATCACTGAGCCAGATCCTGACAGACAGGATCCTAGGGAGCAACTTCTCATGGCAAAGCCACAGCTAGGATGGGTGTCTTCCGCTTCCCCTTAGGAACCACGTGCTTCCCATAGTCCCTCGCTGGTCCTACAGCACAGGGGGTGCAGCAAGTTGGATGTCATGGAGGGTCCAGGTGAAAGGCTTGGCCCTTTATTAGGGGGCAAAGATTGGGAGAAGTTGCCAGGGGGCAGAGACTTCAGAAGGCTCAGTTTGGCTTACTGGAACAAGCTGCTGCCTTGGAGCTGTCAGTGTTTCTTTAAGACTTGACCCGAGGCAGCCCCCAGCATTGCATTGGAGAATCATTTGGGAATTGGGAGAGATCCAGTGACCTGTCATCCCAGCCTCATGTCGCCTCCCCCTGGGAGTCCTGGAATGCTGAGCAGGCCGGACGGGGTGGCAGAAGGATTTGGCGGGAGCAGACATCATGCCACCAGTCAGCAGATCCCAGGCCTGCCTGTCTTGTTCTGCCTGGGGAGCCATTTCCCGAAATGGGTCTTGCCAGCTGGGAAGTGGAAGTTTCTGGCAGGTGGCTTTTCTCAGAAGAATGCTCTTCCCATCAATGGCCTTCCTCCTCCTTGGGAAAACAGGGCACATTCATTTCACAGAATCATAGACTTGCTGAGTCGGAAGGGATCCAAAGCATCATCTAGTCCAACTTCCTGAAATTATCACTGGGAAATAATATTGTGATGGATATACCCAATGGCAGTTGCTTCTGTTCCTTTAGTCATCCAGCCCAATGGGCGGGGGCCAAAGTTAGAGCATTATTTGTTATTTTCATTTATTTCATTCATTGTTCCCTTTACCCAAAAAGAAATTGTCTGAAAGATACTTGACATCCGACCATGTGCCCTCTTAACTCTTGTCCCTCCTGCCCTATTTAGTGACCCTGATGATTTTGGAGGTGCAAAAGCCTCTCCTCCAGGGCCCCCCCTCCGTTGAAATAGAATCTCATAGAGGAAGTTGCTGAACTGGTCATACAAGTTTCTTCCTAAGATGATGACTTTAGCTGGCCACCTAAGTGTCCTCATCCCAAAGGAATCCTCCAAGCCACAAGAACTACCTCCAGGTCAATGGGTGGGCTTTTCCTTCACCGGCTTTAGCTACTTGCTAGAGAAAAGAAGAAGAGCCAGTTTGTGAGCCATACTGGAAGCAGGCTGGAGGCTGGAAACATAGAGACGTGCTTGACACCACATTTCTCCACTGACCATTTCAAGGAAACCAAAGCTGGTTGGGACCCTTGGAGCCTCTCAGCCCTCGGAGGATTAGGTGGCATTTAACAGGGGCAATTTAAGCTGCTATCCTGCTTGGGAGCAAGTCTCAATAAAGTCCATGGGCCTACTTAAGGGTAGACATGCATCGGAGTGTGTTTTTAAACCCAATGGTATCAAAGCCCTTGGCTTCTTGCCTCGCTTCTTGGAAGCTGCTGGAGGATGCTTGTTCCTGCCACGAATCTTGTTCTCCTCCAGCACATGGAAAGAGGTGTGTCCCTGGACCCCTGGACCCTTCTGCTTCTTCTGCAATCTGGAACTGTGGTGCATATTGGCCACACCTTCCTCCACCACCTCTGTCCTCCTGAGGCACGTTCTGTTAAAACTCTGAAGCCTGTGAACACTTTCTGAAGTCCTTTTGCGTGCTGCTAGGATCAGTCTCTTCACTTCTGAACTTCTTTGATGATGCACAACTTAGCAGAGCAGTGCAGCTTTTCCTAGGCAACTATTGAGACTACTCAGTCAGGGTGACGATCAGGAACAATGCTGACAACTAGTAACTTGTAATTTATTATATACGGCAGTAAATTCACAAGCTATGTACAAGTTACTGTATACAGACACGAACTTCATCACTCTCCAAGCACACCAGAATACTCCTAACTAGCCAAACAATGTCATAGGTCATGCTGCCTATATGAGAGACCTCAGCCAATCACCCTGTTACTAGGTCCTCTTATCTCCAGGGAAATTTCTTCCGTGCTCTGTCTCCCTAGCTTGTAGTCAAAACACTAATTGCTCACTTGCCAAGCTGCACATAGACTATGAACTCCAATGGGTTCTTGGGTTACTAAACTTGGTTTCTGGCAGGCTCACCAGCATTTCCCAACCTCTCCTTCCCGTACTGTTTTCATGCTCCATAAGTGGGACAAAAATGAGTGAGTATGCAAGGGGGTGTGAGTCATATGAGCAATGGAACATGCAGCACATAGTCAAGCGATGGAACTCCCAAAGGGGGCAGTGATGGCCACCATCCTAGATGGAGAAGAGAGCTCACGATGATTTGGCTCTGCCTCCACAGTTAGAGGCAGCAAAACTTCTGAATAAGAGCTGGTGGAAACTGCAGGAGGGGAGAGTTGCTCTTGTGCTTAGGATCTCTTTGTGGGGTTCCCACAGGCAACTGTTTGGCCCCTGTGAGAACAGGATGCTGGACTAGATGGGCCTGTTGACTTGGAGCAAAGGTCCAAAATCGTTGTCCTTCCCGGTCAATAAAAACAAAGGGGCAGTGGTTGGAAAGGTAAGAAGAGAGCTTATTCTGGCTGCAGCCCATAGTCCCGGTCTGGATGAACCCAAAGGTACCAGGCCCGAAATTTTTATACAACTGTAGCACAAACCCCACAACACATGACCTCCAGCATCACCATTGGCTAGGAAATCGCGTGATCAAGGCATGCTTGAGTCAGGTTCTTCCACCTGGCTTCAGGACAGTTATCCACTGACCTTTATCATGCTCTCTCTGTCTCTCTGTCTCTCTTTTGTAAATAATTTTCAATTAATTTTCAATTAAAAACACCCCAATTAATGAAACCACAATGCATTACATTCCAAATTAAAAAGATGGGGGTGGGCGCTTCCCATGTTCTGGATGTCCGGAGCAATCTTCTCACACATTGTTTTTTCTGCCTTCTTCACCTGTTGTTATCCTATTTCCAAATTCAGATATTAACCTCTCAAAGTCTCCAGTCACTGGTGCAAATCTCCAATCGTGTTAAAATGAATCCATATGTCCAATTCACCTACCGGAACACACTTTTCTTCTTGCTTTTATCCATCTCAACTCTGCTCCCTCAAAGATCTGGGCTGTTGTCCAAGCCTGCTCCAATTAATGACAATGACGCTGTGAGCTATCCGTTATTTACTTAGGCTGTCAAGGTCTTTTGTAGAAAGTCAAGAGAATAGGATATTTTCACTTTTACATTCAACAATCATTTGGCAATTGATCGGCTTTTCCCAAAATCAACTCCATGGGGGTCTTTATCTCAAGTTTGGGCCTGCTAAGCATAACTGGCCTTGGAGCTGCAACTCTGGATATGTCCTTGTGGCCTAAGCAATCATGGATGCACCTTGCAGTTGGGCTGTGGGAAGGTGTTTCTGCAGACTCAGCACTTAGCAGGCTGAAGTCACCTGTGTACGTGTTGTGATCGATGGAGAGCCTTGGCATCTCTGAATTATAAAACTCAGGTATGGTATAACACTCAGGCATAACGCTCAGGTATGGTACTCCTGAGTTATACCTCTCAGGTATCCGAAACATGTTCTGTGTAAGCAGCAGCCCAGCCTAGGGATACTGTACTCTGCCTTTCTACCAGTGCATAGTTCCTCTTCCAACTAGCCAGAAGGAACTTGGCAGCTTCTCTGCATTCCTAATGGGCCCAAGCTCTCTTCAGTTTCCTTCTAGCTGCTGCTAGCAGACTGTAAGCTATTGTCCATAGAAACTGACTCAAAGCAGAAATATTAGTGTTGTGTAAGCAATGTATAAGAGTGATGTATGATCGGAAATGCCTGCCTGCTGTGATGACCCCCGTGGGTCTCAGGTCATGACATTCACCTGGGACCCAGGTAATGATACCCAGGTTATCAGGCCAATGGCTTGAACCAGCAGGTCTCATCTCATGAGCATAAAATGCGCCTGCTGAAGAACCTAAGAAGATCCTGCTGGAACAGGCCAATGTCCCTAGAATCTTAGCAGAATCCAAGCACTGCTTTCTCCCAGCTTCTGCCAGCCTCCTCTCAGCTCTCTCTCACCACTCTGGCTTGTTTCTTTCTCACTATCAGGCAGGGGAGGGAGGGAGCTCCATCCATTTGCCTTCTGGCACAGTGAAGAAAGGAGACCCCCAAGGATCATTATGGGGACCTGTCTGTGCTTTTTAGCTGGTTCAAACACAATCCAGAGTTAGGGTTGAGCAGTGAGGTGGCCAAGTTTGCTGAAGACACCAAACTGTTCAGGATCATTAAAACAAGCTGTGATTTTGAGGAGTTGCAAAAGGATGTATGCAAACTGAGTGGACAGGGAGTAAAATGTCAAATGCAATTCAATCTAAAAAAAGTGATGCATATTGGCACACATCTTAATTGTGTATATGCATGCTCAATGGGCTGAACTGGCATGGACTGACCTTGGGGTCATGGTGGGTAGCTCAATGACTCAATATTTTCATCAAGCTCTCTACTATGAGCCCAAGGTCTCACCCTTAGCACATCACCACTAGTGCAGAACCCATTAGCATATATGTGAAATTAAGATTTCTTTGCCCCAACAAAGGAGAAAGTGCTTGCCTGCAGGGTGGCTGGAGGCAGGTGGCAGCTGAGCCAAGAGAGCAAGGAGCCCCACCAGGAGGAGAAGGCCACTAGATCACATAATGGACAAGCTTAGGAGCCCACTGCCCAACATGGCTGGCATCTGTCTGTCTTGAGAGACAGTGGAGTGTGCCTCAGGGAAAGAAGCCAAACTGCCAGAGAATCACAGCTCCTGCTATGGCTGCAGACTGCTAACTTGCAACTGCTGTCTCCTATGTCATTTTTGCTGGGTGACCTCCCTGGGACACATGCCTGGGCAGTGTGTATGGAGGTCCTGGGCTTCCCAGACAACAAAACCTTCCTCTCAGCCTCACTGATTTAACTCAAAGGAAAGCAAAAGAAGGCATTTGGCACCAGCTTGGCTGCAGGAGTTGCTGGAGGGAGGAAGACAAGGTGCCATTCAAACATCTTAGGGACTCCACTCTGGATTTGTGTAGGGTTCACTCCCAAGTCTTTTCTTCTCCCAAAGAGCTCCCACAAGGCAGAGGGTATGGGTTTTTCCTTGGGGTTTACTTCCAAAGCCTTTCTCATGAATGAGTATAGCTGCAAGGCAGCAGAAGTTTAAATTTAGCTTTAGCCAGGGCAGTGCCTCTTTTATATCTCAGAAAACAGGTTTAACTGGGAATTTCTGAAGCAGGAGGTTTAAGGATGCTGGCAGACCCGATGAGGGCAGAGAGGACATCCTTCTCTCTCTAACGTGATTTTGCAACCAACCATTATGAAACAGCTAAGGCACTTTTTGTGACCTTTCTGAAGGTATTTCTGCCTGAGAAATGCATTGCTTTCCTCCATGGGCAAGACCACATGTAGTGGGTGACTTGGGTACTATGGCGCCCTGTGAGAAGCAAAATACCCTGGGCCACTCCAGCCTTCTCACTTTGGGAGGGAAACAAGAGTGCTCTGGGAGGGTCCTAAGAGCCTTCCCAACCGCTTTCCCAAGGGGAGAAAGAGATAACTAGGTTTTGGGAAGGAAGCAAGAAGACTCTCAGAGCCTCATGGCTCCTTCCAAAAGTCCAGCACCTCTCTTACCAGGCTTTGAGACAGCGCACCCTCAGCTCAGCACCCAGTACATGCGTACCACTCACGCAGCCCTAAATCTGCCCCTGCTATCTGGATGGATCCATTTTCCACATGAGTGGGGGTCCTAATGGGGCCCCCTTCTGAGCTCTACCACCTTCCAGATTTTCAGGCTGTTGTTGCTGTTTAGTCGTTTAGTGGTGCCCGCCTCTTCGTGACCCCCTGGACCAGAGCACGCCAGGTACTCCTGTCTTCCACTGCCTCCTGCAGTTTGGTCAAACTCATGCTGGTAGCTTCGAGAACACTGTCCCACCATCTGGTCCTCTGTCGTCCCCTTCTCCTTGTGCCCTCCATCTTTCCCAACATCAGGGTCTTTTCCAGGGAGTCTTCTCTTCTCTGGAGGTGGCCAAAGTCTTGGAGCCTCAGCTTCAGGATCTGTCCTTCCAGTGAGCACTCAGGGCTGATTTCCTTCAGAATGGATTGGTTTGATCTTCTTGCAGTCCATGGGACTCTCAAGAGTCTCCTCCAGCTCCATAATTCAAAAGCATCAATTCTTCGGCAATCTTTATGGTCCAGCTCTCACTTCCATACATCACTACTGGGAAAACCATAGCTTGAACTATACGGACCTTTGTTGGCAAGGTGATGTTTCTGCTTTTTACGCTGTTCAGGCTAGGGGACTGCAAGTGTGCCATGGAAGGCTGACAAGTGACTTGTCCAGGTGCATTTTCATGGGGTTGCACACTGGACCCCACATTCTCAGCCTGCGTTTTGTGCTGTTTCACCCCCTGAGTGTGCATTATTACTGCATCGCAGAGGGTTATACTGCCATGTGCAGCACAGGAACAAGTGAGGAAGGAGAATTCAGATTAAATAAAACTGCAACTGCCAACCAAGCACTTAATATGGCATTTTCTTTGAATGTTGTATCTCAAATAAATTGATATATGAAGAGAATTTAAGAGAATACACAAGAGAATTTTTGAGGCCACCCAGACTCAGTGCTGGCATCGGGTCTCCTGGGTTTCAGCTGCACTTCTCCTGGTGCTTGGAAGTGCCTGAAGGCAGCTCCTCACCTCTGCAATTGTTGGCATTTTGATCATGAGAAAGGCACACCCCTGCCTGGACTCAGCCGGTTCCTCTTCTGCCTACTAAGGTGTTGTTGGCTTGGAAATGCTTCACTTCCAGGCACCCAGGACCTCCAGCCTTTCCCTGCCAATTTTTGCTTTTTGTTTCATCTGGGTGGAGCTCAAGAACTGTTCAGTCAGTTATTTCTGGATGTGCTATAAAGCCTCCTGGGTGCAGGCTAGGGACTCAAACCTGCTTCGCCATGAACTCCATCAACCTCTACCTTGTCGTGCTCCTAGCCTTCTGGGGTGAGCTGGCACCTGTCTTTGGTCAGAAACGTCCAGGTGAGTGACCCATTGAATTCCTTTTTCTCCATCCCCTCCATATTGCTAAGCCCCCAGAAGAAACACTCTCTAGGTCAGCCATAGATTAGCAAACTGCCTATGGGTAGCTGAAAGAGTCCTCATCTCCAACATCTCTCCATCTCCCCTTCTATAGCTCTGCCTCCACTACAGACCCTCCTGCTTGGGTCAAGAGGGAACACCCTCACCCTTTGAGGAAAAAATGGTGGGTCAATTATTTTATGTTTTCATCATTTACAAAAAGAACTTTATGTTCTGCCAAAGCATTTCAAATTAGTTGTTGGTCAAATATAGATATTACTGGTCACTTTTTAGCAGCGAAGCTGTATTGTTCTCTTTCCACGTGTTTTTATGATGCATTTTTGTGCTATTTATGCTCATTTACACTGTTTGGGGCTTTTAAAATATTATAGCAGTGATGAGCAGCTAGCTGATCCTTGGCTGGCACCCCTAAGCTCCTACCACCCACTCCTTTGGGGCAGAGGAACACCTTCAGTTTGCCCCTGAATTTTGCCATGGTCCCGGCAGCCTTCAGGGACCCAGGCTGAGCCCTTCAGGGGACTTGGGGAGGCCAGAAGAACCTCTTCCACTGGAGCTCCACCACAGAATCACAGAATTGTAGAGGCAGAAGGGACCTCGAGGGTCATCCAGTCCAAGCCACTGCAACGCAGAAATCCCCTTGCCTCCCTCTCTGCTGTCAGTGCAACGGGGAATAGCATGGAAGGGCATCCTGGCTTGCAGAATATCAGCCCAAAATCCCCCTCTTTCAAACCACCCTCCTCACTCTGGCACAGCTGTGGAAAGGCTGCCCACAGCTTTTCAGCTGTTGGGACAGTTTGTTGCAAAACCTGGTGAGGGAGAAAAGAAGTTCCACTCTGTCCTGCTCACCACCTTCCTGGGCGTGTTGTGGTTCTGTAATAATAATAATTTATTATTTGTACCCCACCCATCTGGCTGGGTTTCCCCAGCCACTCTGGGTAGCTTCCAACAAAGATTAAAAATACATCAAAATGTCACACATTAAAAATGTCCCTGAACAGGGCTGCCTTCAGATGTCTTCTAAATGTCAGGTAGTTGTTTATCTTTTTGACATCTGATGGGAGGGCATTCCACAGGGCGGGTGCCACTACCGAGAAGGCCCTCTGCCTGGTTCCCTGTAACTTGGCTTCTCACAGTGAGGGAGCTGCCAGAAGGCCCTCAGCGCTGGACCTCAGTGTCCAGGCAGAGCAATGGGGGTGGAGACGCTCCTTCAGGTATACTCCTTCAGGTTCTGTAATCCCCCTGATGCTTTTGGGAGATATAAAGAGAGAGAAGCCAGGCTGGGAGGTGGACTCCCCACTTTGTCTGCCCCACCATGATGTCTGGTGGTTTGGTGCTTCTTGTGGGGCTCCTTGCCCTCTGGATTGAGCTGACACCCACCTCCAAAACAGATAGATCTAGGTAAAGCAACTGACAAACACAGAGTTGTCCGTTCCATTACTGTTGCAGTGGCACACAGAGCAGATATCTGCAGGGATTCAATGTCTGTTCTGCCCAAAGCTGCAAAGTCCCTTGGAAGCAAGAGCCAGTGACCACAGCAAAGGATGGTTTTGCAGATCTCTGCTTGAGGTCAAGTAGGCAGGCTCCCCAAGGGGACCACCCCCTGCAAAACAACAATGCAGCTGTGCTTCTTCAACTCAGCCACCAGGACATGTGCATGTTGTGCACCTGGCACCTGTGGAGGTAATCTGACACCCCTACCAGGGTGTGGCAAGTGAAAGACCTGCTGGGGCAAGTGCAAAAAGTGCCCAGTGAACAAAGGTGGGTTTCTTCAAGGCAGCTGTTCTTCTGCTCCCCCTTCATCCACACACCTGCATTCCCCCTACCTGAGAGCATCCAGTGCAGGAGTCCTAATGAGACTTGACCTGGCCCCGGTGCCTCATACCTCGTGAGACAGGAGCCCCAGGGAGATCAGGCAGAGCCCTTCTCCTAGTTACACCACAGATTTGGTGTCCATGGAGACACTTCACTAGGCCTCCCATGGGAGATAGCCTTGGCGTGTGTTCCTGACTTACTTGAGGCAGAGGAGGTCCTGCCTTAGGCAGGGGTGCTGCTGGGCGGTGAGTCTGAGGGAATCCTCAGCCCTCAAGGGGGTTGGAGGCAAATGTTACAGGCTGAGGCAGCTGGTCAGCCAAGGAGGGCACCCCTGAGAGCCCAATGTCATTACACTAGAGTAAAGGGCTCTTGCAGGGGAGGGAGGACCAAGAGGTAAAGGGTCTGAAAACAAAATGTTATGAGGAATGGTAGAGGAAATTGGGTCTGCTTAGCCTGGAGAAGAGACGACTGAGAGGAGGTAGGAGAGCTATCTTTGAATACCTGAAGGGCCACCACATGGAAGATGGAGCAATCTTGTTTCCTGTTGCTCCAAAAGGCAGGACTTGTTCTGCTCCTGAGCTGCTGAGAGTGCAGGGACCACCCTACAGCAGGGGTGGGGAGCTATTGGGAAGTCTAGTTTTGTGTGTGGTTGGACAGTGTCCTCGAAGCTACCAGCATGAGTTTGACCAAACTGTGGGAGGCAGTGGAAGACAGGAGGGCCTGGCGTGCTCTGGTCCAGGGGGTCACGAAGAGTCAGACACGACGAAATGACTAAACAACAACAACAACAAAGTTTTGTGTGACACCTCAGACCCCTGAGCAGAACAGAGCCCACCTTAGGAATCCTGGGCTCCTCTGAATACTGGACGCAAAGGAGCTCCATCCCACATGAAGAGAAAGAGCCATAGCTGTCAACGTTTCCCTTTTTTAAAAGGGAAATTCCCTTATTCCAAATACGATTCCTCACAAGAAAAGGGAAAAGTTGACAGCTATGGAGACAGCCTCTCTGGCCAAAGACATCTCTCAACCTTGGAATTCTGCTCTGTTGCAGAGAAACCTGGGCAATGTCCTGGGGAACAGCCAGGTATGGCCGGAATCTGCGTGGTGAACTGTGAGGATGACTGGTCATGCCCTGGAGCTCAGAAGTGCTGCGGGAGTTGCCCACGAGATTGTGCTATTCCTGTCAGAGGTGAGACCATTTATTCTGCAGAGGGTGGGGTGGGATAGGAAGCTCTTCTTCTTCATGAATCAAAGCCATTGTGACTTATGAAGAATTGCAGAATCTCTAAGCTCTGAAGATTCATGGAGGAGGAGAGCTATCCAGGGTGGTGGCCCTCACTGCCTCCTGTTAAACTACCATACTTTTCTGTGTATAAGACGTGTTTTTTTCCACCAGCTGGCATTCAGAAGCATCGCTGTCTCCAACCATGGAGGCAAACAGTGCCATCCTGCGAGAAGTCATCGAGAACCCAGCTGGTTGATTGGCTGCTGCTGTGGCAATTGGCAGCGTCAGTCAGGCGGGTGAGCGATTTATGGCACCCCCCCCCCGAAAAAAGCTCAACAACTCTGGGCAATCTCCCTCCTGTGTATAAGATGCGTCGGCATCGCTGAATCCACCAACCATCTGCCCACTTGCCACCAGCAGCCACCAATCACCTGCCCAATTGCCACAGCAGGAGCCAATCAACAGCAGGCCTTGCCACAGCCACCAATCACCCACCCAATCACCTCTGGCAATCTCCTGCTTGTGGCTGCAAGCAATCGCCCATCCTCCCCTCTGCACTATCTGTGTATAAGATGACCCCCAATTTTTAACATTCTTTTGTAATTAGAAAAACATATCTTATACAGGAGGCAGTGAGGGCCACCAACCTGGCTTTAAAAGAGGATAAGAAAAATCCAAGGAACAGGTTATATTGAGGGCTCCTACCCAGGATGGCTCTACTCTGCCTTCACAGTCAGAGGCAGCAGTGCTTATGAATACCAGTTGCTGGAAACTGCAGGAGAGGAGAGTTGCTCTCGTGCTTGAATTATCCTTGCTTGTTCCCAATGGGCAACTGTTTGGCCACTGTAAGAACAGAATGCTGGACTAGAATAAAAGGTCTCCACACCAAACATTCTCACCCCACCCTCCAAAGGACATTTTGGTTCTCTAGCTGCGGGAATATGCTTGAGCTGCAGCTCACCATTTGGGGAGGGTCTGAGAGCCTTGGGGTTCTTTTGTGTTGCAGAGAGGTCTGGAAGATGCCCTATACCACCTCAAGGTACCGTGACAACCTGTGAATTACGGTGTGTGAATGACTATGAATGCCCCTGGCCCAAAAAGTGCTGCAAATATGGGTGCAAGACAGACTGCTTCTACCCCGTCTAAGGTGAGTTAATCCAAATCATCCTTGGGTTACCCTGGAGGCAGTTGTCAGAGAAATTTCCCTTGGGAGTTCCAGTACTGAGGGTCACACCAAACTCCCCGCTGGTCAACAAGAGCTTTCCATTATGACTCCCTCTGTATAGGAAAAATATACACCATCTTAGCTGTTCATCCTCTGGTCAACAATTTATGACACCCCCACTGCCCCACCATTGCTTCATCCAACCACAGTCCTCTAAATGCAACTTTACTCAACCCATTTTCACCAGCAGAACCCCCATTGTACCTTATATGGAGTCGGTCTTCACTTTAATTGTCAGTGTTAAGTTCCTCCTAAACTGGTTCTTACCACTTTGTGCTCAGGCTGCACTCTTGTGCATGCGACACTGGCCTTACTGATAATGTGTCAGCATGGATGCCTGTCATCACCCCAAAAAAGCAGTGGAGGCTCCCTCTGGGGTGCTTGTCTTCCTTGCCTCATTAAAGCAAGGGAGAAGGCTTTGCACAAGGCATTGGGGACATGAATCAAGGAATACTATACAGATAAAGAATTATAAGGAAGAAGGAAGAAGTCAAGGAGATGCCTTTTACTGTGTTGCACCATAGGGTCATCAAGCTCAGCTGACGCCTATACTGGCTGGCAGAAGCACCCCAGGAATTCCAGCAAGTCTCCTTTCCCAGTCCTACCCAGAGAGGCCAGGGAACTTGGGCCCTTCTGCATGCAAGGAGTTCTGCCGCTGAGCTACAGCTCTGAAGAGGGTCCTTGAGAGCGGAACTTCAGCCTATCTTTGGGTTCTTCTTCCTCCTTTTCCTCCTCTTGTCTGACTCTGTTTTCTATCCTCAGCAGAGCCCTGAAAGAAGTCCACCACCAAGGACAGCAACCAGTCCTGACTTTTCCAGAAGGCTCTGAGCTGGCCCCTGGGAACTTCAACCAGCTATCTCCCTGCTCCTTCTTCCTCCTCCTGGAGCCCATTTCACTCAGGTTCCCCTTTGCTATTTGCAATAAATAAACCTGGATATTTGCACCTGAATCCTAGAAATGTGTCTGACTTGGTGGGTGGGAGTTTGGCAGGGAGAGGGCTCTCTTTTTCTGACTGCGCTCTGCTTGCAGAAAGAGGCCTTCCTGGGCTTCCACTGGTGATACCTTTTTCAGAAAAATAATAATTACAAAAAAGGCCAGAGGCTTCAGAATTTTCTCTCTGTGTGGATGCCTCAAATCCGACAGCAGCAGGATGCATTTTTTTCCTGATTAAACAATATTGCAGAATCATAGAATTGTAGAGTTAGAAGGGACCCTGAATGTCATCTAGTCCAACCCCCTGCAATGCAGGAATCTCAGCTGAAGTATCCCTGGCAGATGGCCACCCAACCTCTGCTTCAAAACCCACCAGCTTCCAAAGGAGCCTCTTCCTCTTTCCAACAGCTCTTACCACTAGAAAGTTCTTCCTGATGCTTAGTTGGAATCTCCTTTCTTGCTATTCATCTAGTCCAATGCAGGAATCACAGCTAAATCATCACTGGCAGAACAAAGTAAAGCAGAACAAAGTCAACACTGACACGCCATTATTGTGGCAGCAACATGCTCTTTCTTCCCAAAACAATTTCTGGATGATAAAAGCAAATGAGACTCAAGAACAAGACACTCTGGAGTGCAGTGATGTGGGTCATTTTATTGAAGGGAGAGGAGGGGGCTGGGTTGATCCCACCAGGGTCAGGAGGGAGCTGGAACAATCGTTCCCTTTGGATGCTGGGTCCTGAGTTCAAATCTCCAAAACCAAGACTGCAGAAGCTGCTGGGATTTCAGACTTGGTGTCACTGTCATGGCCCTGATGAGAGAAGAGAGAAGTCTTGAGACTTGTGCCTGATTATTTTGTCTTTGACAATACTTGCCATCACTTTCCCTCAGACAAACATTTTATGCATTTCCCATCCTATTATCTGCTTATCACACATAATGGAGCAAAATTCAGGTGACGAGTTTCAGGAATTTCCATAGAACTAAACGCTTTGGCATCTTGGATCTTTTGAGATAATAATTGTAGTTATCCACTGCAAACATTTGCATACCTCTCTTCAGATACAAGCAGGCCTCTCAAAATGTAATTAAAAATAGTCATACAGTAAAAGCCAGGAACATTTGCTTGCTTGCTTGTTTGCAATTGATTCTATCATTTATTTATTAGATTTATATACCACCCTTCATCATAAAAACTCAGTGTGGTTTGCCGAACAAAATACAGAATAAAAAGAAGTAAATAATGAAAAACAAAACTGCAAAACAATACCCCACCCCTTTCCATGGAGACATTTAAAAGGCTGTGGAATATTAATCAGCCTGGTTGAGGAGGAAGATTTTCACCTGGTGCCTAAAAACAGATAATAAAATTAAATAATTTGTAATTATATAAAACTGATTTGTTTTAACTGGCTTTAGATCAAGGGAAGTAATAGTGCCACTGTATTCTGCTCTGGTCAGACCTCACCTGGAGTACTGTGTCCAGTTCTGGGCACCACAGTTCAAGAAGGACACTGACAAACTGGAACGTGTCCAGAGGAGGGCAACCAAAATGGTCAAAGGCCTGGAAACGATGCCTTATGAGGAACGGCTAAGGGAGCTGGGCATGTTTAGCCTGGAGAAGAGGAGGTTAAGGGGTGATATGATAGCCATGTTCAAATATATCAAAGGATGTCACATAGAGGAGGGAGAAAGGTTGTTTTCTGCTGCTCCAGAGAAGCGGACACGGAGCAATGGATCCAAACTACAAGAAAGAAGATTCCACCTAAACATTAGGAAGAACTTCCTGACAGTAAGAGCTGTTTGACAGTGGAATTCGCTGCCAAGGAGTGTGATGGAGTCTCCTTCTTTGGAGGTCTTTAAGCAGAGGCTTGACAACCATATGTCAGGAGTGCTCTGATGGTGTTTCCTGCTTGGCAGGGGGTTGGACTCGATGGCCCTTGTGGTCTCTTCCAACTCTATGATTCTATGATTCTAATATTGCAGTTTCAAATTATAACCCAATAAACAAGAACAAATCATCCACATAACAGTGCTGCCTCCTTCCACAAAGGCATCGGCATCTTACTTGGATATACGCAGACCATGGAGCACATGTTTGGACAGCATTTCTTGGGGCTAGGACAGTGAAGATCAAGCGTACATTTCTGCTGGCAAGGTTTCTTCACTCTTCTCAAGTTGAAAGGGCAGATTCCAGCCCTTGACCTCCAAGGCCCTGTGACACAGACCAACGTCCTCGCTTAGAGACATCTTTTGAAAATAAGGCAACTTTGGGGCAGAACAGAGCTGTGCCTCTTCTTGCATATCCCTAACCCAAATAATGCTTGCCTTTCTAGGATGAGCACAGCTTGGATGAAGAGGGTCCTAGTTTTTGCCTGTCTCCATCCCAGCAGAGAGATGGACATCTGCGTTGAAGCTGGATCAGTGTTCGCTGGGGCTGGCCAACTTCCCCCACAGCTGCCACCCTCTTCCCTTCACGTCCCTCCATGTTCTTTCATTTATGGGATATGTGGCTAGTATTTCCTTTCTCAGCCTGCTCCGCTCTTGGGCTGAAGCTATTAGGACCAGCTTCAGTTGTGTGTGTGTGTTAGGGAGGTGTCTCCATCATCTCCCCCTCCCTCCCCAGCTATCAGCCCACTTCTCTTCCTTCCTCCTATCCAAACTGAGCTCTCAGGTTTGCTGCAGAAGATGGCAACCCAAACAAGAGAAGCGAAGGATTCGCTTTGGAGCCCCCTAAAACAAATTAGGGGGTCGAAATTAGGGGGTCCAGGGACCCCTGGGGGTCCACTGAACACACCCTGGGAGTGGGCGTCCCCCATCCCTTGCCTCCCCCCACAGTAAATTTTATTTGTTTGTGTGTTTTTTTATTTGTATATACCCCACCCATCTGGCTGCCCCCCCCCCCCGCCACTCTGGGCGGCTTCCAACAAAATCTTAAAATACAGTAATGCATCAAACATTAAAAGCTTCCCTAAACAGGGCTGCCTTCAGTTGTCTTCTAAATGTCACATAGTTGTTTATTTCCTTGATATCTATCAGGAGGGCACCCCACAGGGCGGGCACCACTACCGAGAAGGCCCTCTGCCTGGTTGTCATTTTTCCATGGCAATACCACAAATTTTATGGTCTGTTTTAGAAGTCTGTGATTTTTCAATATATTGGCCCAAATCAGTTTTGAAATCACACCGCGATAGCGATTTTGACCCGGCAATACACAGCAACATATCTCTCCTCGTCTCTCCTCGCATGAGGGAGAGCAGGGCAGCCAATTTCAAGGCATCGCTGATATCTCACAATGATCTCAGCTGGAAACACTGCTGACCTGAGGAGTCTTCTTTCACGCTGAGAGAGAACAAGGGAGCTGATCGCCTTCCCTTCAAGGGACCCTGGCACTACCTTCCCCTGGCACTGAGACGGAGCAGCTTTTCTCAGTCAGAAGAAAAGCAGTAGCAGCCACAGTGGATGTGCCTCTTCACTGGCTGCCACTGCTGGGTGCCCAGCTGACGGCACTTGACGCACCCCCCCCATCCCCATCTCCCCTCACTCAAACCATGCAGTGGGGGGTGACTCCGCTTCCTCTCCTCCCCCCACCCACCCCATCTCCGTGGCTGCTCCTTCCCTCATCCTCACACCTAATCTCCAATTTCAGACATTTTGATATATCGTGATGGTTAGCTGCTGATATAAAGATAAAGGGATCCCTGACCATTAAGTCCAGTCGTGGCCGACTCTGGGGTTGCGGCACTCATCTCGCTTTATTGGCTGAGGGAGCCGGCGTACAGCTTCCGGGTCATGCACCCAGCATGACCAAGCCGCTTCTGGCGAACCAGAGCAATGCACAGAAACACCGTTTACCTTCCAGCCAGAGGGATACCTATTTATCTACTTGCACTTTGACGTGCTTTCGAACTGCTAGGTTGGCAGGCGCAGGGACCGAGCAACGGGAGCTCACCCCGTCGCAGGGATTCAAACCACTGACCTTCTGATCGGCAAGCCCTAGGCTCTGTGGTTTAACCCACAGCACCACCCGCGTCCCTTAGCTGATATATCATGCTGTTAAAAAACAGATATTTCTTAGCCCTAGTCTGTTTTTTTTTAGTATACCTTTGCTTATTAGAGGCTACCCCCCATTTTTTAAAAAATGCTTTGCAGAGGTAACTACCATAGAGTTATCAAAATTCTCAAAATTGGGGGTCCAACCCATGGCCTGGCTTTTGAAAAATAGAGGGTCCTCAGTAATTAGCTAATTGGGACCCACCACCCTAAAACATTCCCAGGCAGATCACTTGACAACCTTCTGTGGCACAGAAATATCTGTGTTCCTCTGAAGGGTCTTGGGGGTGAGGGGCAAAGGGGGTCCCACTCAGAGCTGCCCACAAAGTAGCAGCAGCGCTAGAAGAATAGACCTGTCCAGAGAGCTTTGCCCAGGCAGAAAAGGGTCCGTCTTTGAGTCAGGATCCAAAAGGCGTCACGTACAATTGCCGGAGGCAGGAGGCATCATGGCACAGAAAGCAAGGAGCCCCACAAGGAGGAAGACGAGGCTGCCAGACTTCATGGCCGGGTCGGATGGGGTGCCCTCCAGCCGCCAGCCTGGTGGCTTTATAATGCCCCATCCCACCAAGAGCCCCACCCAGACTAAACATGGAAACAATGGGAAGAGGAGGAGTTGGCAAATACCTTTGCAATGCGCAAAGAACCGTAAGGAGAATGTAAAGGGGAAGATCCCTCTGCAGGGCATGATCCAGGCGAGCACTTCAGGTTCTGTTGCACCTCCCTAGGGAATCCCACCCTGCCAGGGACTATTACCACCCACTTTGAGAGCCACTGGTTTACACAAAAAGTCACAACCGTGGTCAGGTGGGGACCATCATTGTACCTTGGGGGATAGACCACCCACCCCACGCACCCCAGGATTGATGTCTCTGTTGGCAGTGACACCCCCAACACCAGGCTCTGAGTTATAAAGTTCTCTACTGGCTTTTTTGACAGCAGACATTCAAAAGATCAGCCTCAAAATTAGTTATGTACCTGGTTGGTGTGCGAGTTTAAGGTGCCGCACATGCTTTCTCCTTTCCCATGGGAAAATTGCTTTGGTTTTGGTTTTCGTCAGTTTTAAAGTCCATCTGTGTCCACAAAGCTTATGAAAGCAAACAGTGGCGATGCCAAATTGTCTAAGAGAATGAGCACGAAGGCTTTTTTTTCAGGAGGGGTAAATTTGTCCAGGGAAATACGGTGTACAAATTGGTCATGCTTCAGATTACATTGTTATAAGTACTATCCAGAAAATAATCTGTTCTAATCTCTCCACTCTCAATAATGTCACGAGGAGAGAATGTTTCCTGGTGGTTCTCATTGTTGTGACACGTACAGCAGGCTAGCCCAGCCCGGAGGCAGGAGAGGAACCCCTTCCTCTCTTAATCGTAAGGAACCGAGGGATTCTTTAGCTGCGATTCCTGCACTGCAGTGGGTTGGACTAGATGGCCTCTGGGGTGCCTGCCAACTCTGCATTTCTATGAATCTGTGAACCCTTCTTTCCTTCCATCCTTCCCTCCTTTTTCACATGCTTGCAAGCACTGAACCTGGGGGGAAATATATTCAATTCTGCTTTTGAAAATGAGTGTCCACTACCTCCATTTAACTTATCTCACAAGGTCATTGTGGGGTTTAAATGAGGAAAGGGAGAACCATTGTATGCCCCCTTGATTTCCTTGGAGCAGAAGGTGGGATATAAATGCAATGAATACACAATAGATAAATGAAAAGAAATAGGAACGGGGGGGTAATTATCACAGCGTCTACAATGGCCTTGGGAGGTAGCGCAGCTGTGCTTTGTATATGTCCAAGCCACCAACTCCCCTTTTCCTCTAACACTTGGTGAAGGAGGAGACCAGAGCTTTGAGCTGGGAGAGGAACTGCCTGGCTGGCCAGTTCCCTCCTGCCTCCACAAGGCTTCCCTCAGACCCCCTTTTAGGCAGAAATAGAGTCACCCCTTTAGAGTCACCTTTATGGACCATAAAGAAGGCTTGAAGAATTGATACTTTTCAATTCTGGTGCTGGAGGAGACTCTTGAGAGTCCCATGGACTGCAAGAAGATCCAACCTCTCCATTCTTAAGGAAATCAGCCCTGAGTGCTCACTGGAAGGACTGATCCTGAAGCTGAGGCTCCAAGACTTTGGCCACCTCATGAGAAGAGAAGACTCCCTGGAAAAGACCCTGATGTTGGGAAAGATGGAGGGCACAAGGAGAAGGGGACGATGGAGGACGAGATGGTGGGACAGTGTTTTCGAAGCTACCAGCATGAGTTTGACCAAACTGCGGGAGGCAGTGGAAGACAGGAGTGCCTGGCGTGCTCTGTTTTTGTTTTTTTTAATGATATTTATTAAAATTTCAAAAACAAAAAATTACATAGTTAAAGAGAGAAGAAACAAGGAAATATATATATATAAAAAGAAAAAAACATACAAAATACAAAGTACAGAAAAATAAATAAAAAAGAAACACTTAAAAACAAATTAATCCTTCCGTATCTTACATTTCATTTCCTTGCTTCCCTGACCTCCTCTCACCTCCCTTTTTTGTATTCCAGTTCAATTGGTTAATTCAGCAATTCCTTTCCCTCTTTGTTTATATCTTAGTCCTTTAACTTAATATTTTATAACTTTAGATTCTCACCTATTAACCATCCATTTTTACATACACCTTTATGACATTGCTACTAGAACCACTTAATTTCATTCTAACATCATTCTAACATTCATTAATTTTACAATATTTCTGTAGATAGTCCTTAAATTTCTTCCAATCTTCTTCCACCGACTCTTCTCCCTGGTCTCGGATCCTGCCAGTCATTTCCGCCAATTCCATGTAGTCCATCACCTTCATCTGCCATTCTTCCAGAGTGGGTAGATCTTGTGTCTTCCAATACTTTGCAATAAGTATTCTTGCTGCTGTTGTAGCATACATAAAGAAAGTTCTATCCTTCTTTAACACCAATTGGCCGACTATGCCCAGGAGAAAGGCCTCTGGTTTCTTCAAGAAGGTATATTTAAATACCTTTTTCAATTCATTATAGATCATCTCCCAGAAAGCCTTAATCCTTGGGCACGTCCACCAAAGGTGAAAGAATGTACCTTCAGTTTCTTTACATTTCCAACATTTATTATCGGGCAAATGATAGATTTTTGCAAGCTTGACTGGTGTCATGTACCACCTGTATATCATTTTCATAATATTCTCTCTTAAGGCATTGCATGCCGTAAACTTCATACCTGTGGTCCATAACTGTTCCCAGTCAGCCATCATTATGTTATGTCCAACGTCTTGTGCCCATTTAATCATAGCAGATTTCACCGTTTCATCCTGAGTATTCCATTTCAACAGCAAGTTATACATCTTTGATAAAGTCTTAGTTTTGGGTTCTAACAGTTCTGTTTCTAATTTTGATTTTTCCACCTGGAAGCCAATTTTCTTGTCCAAATTATATGCCTCCATTATCTGATAATAATGAAGCCAATCTCGCACTTTGTTTTTTAGTTTCTCAAAACTCTGCAGTTTCAATCTGTCTCCCTCTTGTTCCAGAATTTCCCAATATTTCGGCCATTTGGCCTCCATATTGAGCTTTTTCAGTGCTTTCGCTTCCATCGGTGACAACCACCTTGGGGTTTTATTTTCCAATAAATCCTTATATCTTATCCAGACATTAAACAATGCTTTCCTGACAATATGATTCTTAAATGCTTTATGTGCTTTGACTTTGTCATACCACAAATATGCATGCCATCCAAATACATTATTGAAACCTTCTAAGTCCAAAATGTCTGTGTTTTCAAGAAGCAGCCATTCTTTCAGCCAGCAAAAAGCTGCTGATTCATAATAAAGTTTAAGGTCTGGCAGGGCAAATCCACCTCTTTCCTTTGCATCCGTTAATATTTTAAATTTTATTCTGGGCTTCTTGCCCTGCCAGACAAATCTAGAAATATCTCTCTGCCACTTCTTGAAGCAATCCATTTTGTCCAAAACTTGCAATGTTTGAAACAAAAACAACATTCTAGGCAATACATTCATTTTTATCGCAGCAATACGGCCTAGCAGTGAAAGCTTCAAATTTGACCAAATTTCTAAATCTTTTTTCACTTCAGCCCAACATTTTTCATAATTGTCTTTAAATAGATTCCCATTTTTAGCTGTCATGTTAATCCCCAGGTATTTCACTTTCTTAACCACTGTTAAACCTGTCTCATTCTGAAACCTCTCTCTCTCCATCGTAGTTAAATTTTTCTCTAAGACCTTTGTTTTTGACTTATTCAGTTTAAATCCTGCAACCTGACCAAATTCTTGAATCAGTTCCAAAACCCTTTTAGTACTAGATTCTGGCTCCTGTAACGTCAATACTAAGTCATCTGCAAATGCTCTCAACTTGTACTGTTTAGCTCCGACTTGTATACCTTTAACCAACTGGTCCCTTCTAATCATATTCAGCAGGACCTCCAGGACCGATATAAAAAGCAATGGGGAGATTGGGCAACCTTGTCGTGTCCCTTTTTCTATCTTAAATTCTTCCGTCACCACATTATTTACAATTAATTTAGCCTTTTGTTCTGAATAAATTGCACTTATACCGTTTTCAAAACCTTGGCCTACCCCCATCCCCTGTAGGTTCTTCTTCATAAAACTCCAAGAAATGTTGTCAAAAGCTTTCTCCGCGTCCACAAATATCAGAACTGCCTTAGTATTTATGTTCACTTGTAATTTTTCTAAAATATTGATTATGTTTCTCACATTATCAGATAGATGTCTACCCGGGAGAAAGCCTGCTTGGTCTTTATGTATCTCTTCCACTAGCACTCTTTTTAGTCTTTTAGCCAAAATGTCTGCAAAGATTTTGTAATCCACATTGAGCAGTGATATGGGGCGGTAGTTCTTAAGCTGGGTCTTTTCAGTCTCTGTTTTCGGTACAAGTGTAATATACGCTTCTTTCCACGACTCTGGTGCCCTTTTCCCACCCATTATTTCGTTACAGACTTCTTTTAAAGGTTGTACTAGCCATTCTTTTAAAGATCTGTAGTATCTAGAAGTCAGTCCATCCGGTCCTGGAGATTTACCTAGTTGCATATTCTGAATGGCACCTTCTACCTCCTGTTCAGTTATTTTATAGTTCAACATTAATTTATTTTCTTGAGAGATTTTTGTAATCCATTTGTTTTCAAAAATCGGTCTACGTCAATTTCTTTCTGTGGCCCTTGTGTATATAGTTGTTTAAAGTACCTCTGGAAACAGTTTCTAATCTCAACTGGGTTCTGTATATTCCTTCCTTCCACTTCTAAATTTGTAACAGTATTTAATTTTTGTCTTTTTTTCATTTGCCAAGCCAATAATTTCCCACATTTATTAGCCGACTCAAATGTCTTTTGTCTCATTTGTTTAATTTTCCATTCTATCTCCTGATTCATCATTTTCATATATTGTACTTGATATAACTTTATTTCTCTCAATATCTCTTGCGACTTTGGTTTTGCTCTCAATTTCTTTTCACTTTCCTTTATTTTCTCCAATATTTTATCCTTCTTTTCATTTTGGATTCTCTTCTTTAATGCATTCTGTTGTATCAAGAACCCTCTCATAACAGCTTTGCTTGCGTCCCAGATTACTCTTTTTCAACATTGGTGTTCATATTTATCTCAAAATAGTCTCTCAAGGTTTTTTGGGCCTTCTTAATCACTTCTTCATCTCTAAATAAGGTGTCATTCATCCTCCATCTGAAGGAACCGGTTGGTGTTAGTTTCATTTCCATCTTAACAGCATTATGGTCGGAGCAGGTTTTTGGGCAGATTTCCACTTTTCTTGTCTTTGGTGCCATTCCTCTAGTTACCCATATTTGGTCAATTCTTGTCCATGTCAGTTTGGCTTCAGAGAAGAAGGTTCCCTCTCTAGCCAAGGGATTCTTTGTTCTCCAAATATCGACTAAGTCCAAGTTGTCTGTCATCTCAAAAAAGGTTTTCGGTAGTCTACCATCCTTAGTGACTACCTGTCTTTGTGCCTTGTCCATATGTGTAGATACCACTCCATTCATATCTCCCATCAAAATCACATTATAGTCCAAATAGTCCATCAAGGTCTCATGCAACTTTTTAAAGAATTCAGATTTCCCTCATTTGGTGCATAAACTCCTACTATTAAAAATTTCTCTCCTTGTATTTGAATTTCAATTGCCACAAATCTTCCTTGGTCATCTTTGAAGATAAATTTCGGTAATAGTCTCTCCTTTGCATAAATCACTACTCCTCTTTTTTTAACTTTATCCGAAGAGATAAATTCCTGGCCCAATCTTTTATTGATCAATACTTTCCTGTGTAGCCTTGTTACATGTGTTTCCTGTAAACAAATCAAGTCCAATTGTTCCTTTTTTAGTAGATGAAACACAGATTTCCTTTTCTGAGGGGAGTTCAGACCATTACAATTCCAGCTTAGTAGTTGCCTGGCATGCTCTGGTCCAGGGGGTACGAAGAGTCGGACACGACTGAATGACTAAACAACAGCAAAGAGTCACCCCCAAGCACTTAGCAGGTGGGGTCTGGAGGCGTGCAAATGATAAATGCTCCCTCAAAATTCTAATGCTAAATTAAAGAAAGATTGTTGCTATAACTGCGAGCAGGATGTAAGAGACAAGAGGAAAGCAGGCAGGGACTCTGAGAAGGTAAACAGTGGCTTAAAGGCTAGCTTTTGGAAGGAGTCCCAGGATTTGGGCCCATCAGACCCACACAGTGTGCACTGAACATGCAGCAGAAGGAGCAAGTAACTTGAATCCATTAGATCTACCCCCAAGAACAGGAGGAAACAAACTTCATCCAAGCTTGTGACAGCCCTTTAGAGATTTGAAGATGGCTCTCATATCTCCTGTCAATCTCTTTCCCCAGGTAAACGTCTCCAACTTCCTCAATCATTGTTCATAAGGCTTGGTTTCCAGACCCTGGAATGTCTTGGTCAGCCTCCTCTGCACACACCCCAACTTGTCAATATCTTCCATAAATTGTGGTGCCCAGAATTAGACACAATATTGAGCAGATTCATCCTCTAAGGAATGCATTGCCTACCACCGCCACTGACTGTGAGATGTGCTAAGTAAACAAGGTTGAATTGACACCAGTCAATCAGCAGACTCTGGGAGTTCTATCAAGACTGCTTGGAGTGCAATTCCTTCTGTGGTGTGCAGTGACCTCCAGATTGAACGTCCTTATTCTAAAAAGTGCACTTCTGTTAGAAACCAGGCATCAGGAGAGTCTGAATGGATGCCCATAATCTCGCCTCCCCATCCTGGCAAGGGGGAGTCCAATCAGGGGGCTTGCTGGTGCCATCCTGCTTTCATGGCAATGCCCACTTTTGTTCATTGACACACCTATGTGCTGGTGGATGGGTCCTTCACAAAGATGGAGTATCCCTTGAGGACTTCCTTCCTAGGCAGCCTTGCCTTTGGGCTCAATCTGGGTCCTGTTTGACTCCACTTTCAACATGTCCTGCTCACCTTCCTCTCTGCCAGGCACTTCTGACTCTTTAATAAGCTGGGATGTTTCCCTGTCAATGTCATGGCTAATATCATAATGATACAGGGCTGCCACTTTTTGGACTCTGTTTGAAACAGGGTTGCCATATTTCAAACAGTGGAAATCCAGGTTTTTGGGGGTGGGCAAAGTTGTTAACTATTTTTGGGCAAGATCGCAAAAATAAATAAATAAATAAATAAATAAAAATGCATGGGCAGCCATGTGCCAGATTTTCATGTGCCAGATTTTAATCCTCCTCTATCCTCAGTTTCTACACTTCATTTTTACTTAATCCATTATACCATATCTACCAAAACGGCCTAATATTCTTTTCCAACCTCTTTCTAGCATTCTTTTATATTGCAGTATTTTTGAAGATATATTTTAAATTTTTTCCAATCTTCTTCCATCGACCCTCAAGGGTATTTGGCCGATTTCCGCCCAGACGCTGCTGACAAATGCAGAAGTATGGCAACCCTGAGATCAGCTGTTGGTACCACGCTGATCTGAGCCAGAGTCTCTCTTCAGGCTGTTAGGCAGGACTGAGGGATCAGAAGGCAGCTCAGCATCAGCCACCCCACAAAAATCTGTAGGGAAGGGGGAGGCCCCAGGAGTTCTGGTCACCCTTTCTGTCCATCATTGCAGGGTGGTTCTACGCACCCAGATGGTGCCACCTTCTGCCCTGTTCCTTTCAAAGTAGGAAGGTGGGCAAGTAAGCAGGCAGTGCAGGGACACGCTCCAAGAGAGAGACTACAAAGGACCTGGATCCGAGAAGTAACACGAGACACACACATTTTGCCCACCAAACCCTGCTTGGTGAGGTGGTCAGGTATTTGGGAAGTAGGGACCATAGAACTCAAGAGGGGTGGATTTGCCCTTCACCCAGTGCATTTCCCCTGCTAACTCTGCCCCATTGCGAAGCTGCCCTTCCCTGGCTGTATGTGTGCTCTGTTGGGTTTCCACAGCCCTCAGCCAGAGGCTCTTCCTCCCTCCCTCCTGCCAACACCCTTTTGGAAAGATATAAGCAAGCAAGACTCAAGAACAAGACACTCTGGTATGCAGGCACAGGGATCATTTTATTGCAGGCAGGGAAGGAAGCTGGATCGGGCCCATTGGGTCAAGAGGGAGCTGGGTTTATCATTGCCTTCACTCCTTGGGTGCTGGGTTCACATCTCCAAAACTGTAGAAGTTGCAGGGATTTCAGGCTGTGCATCACTGTCATCACTTTGCTGCAGGAATAAAAGAGTGTTCAGGCACCCATGGAAATGTGGGATGTGAAACACAAGAGCAGTCAAGTACAACATTCCTAGAGTGAACATGTTTACACATGGGAAGGAATGTTTGTCCAGCCAGCAGGTAAACTTCCTGTTTCCTTCTGGGCTGGGACAGACTCATCTGCATGTGACTAGAGGGGGGCGTGGCCTCACCTGTGCAGGTAGCACAGGGCAGGGCTGCCATCTCTCTCTTTTTGACTACATGCATCGAAGAAGCAACATCTGCTTAGCCAAAGATGCTCTCTGGGCTTCCAGAGAGGACAAAGGGACTGTCCCCTTATGAGATAGTTCCCAGGTATATATTACTTTTCTAAGCTAAGTCTGCCTTCTGGGATCCTATTGTGAACAGAATGATGTGTGAGTAAACCTTTTTATACTTTTATAGAAGACTGTGTCTTATCTATTATGGGGAATAAGGGGGAAATACCAGAACAGTTATTATAGAGGCTTTAGCAAGCCTTAGCAACGCATCCGCTGTGAGTTTAAAAAGGGGGATGTTACTCTGCTAAATTGTGAGCTTGTTAACACAAGTTGGAAAGGCTATAATCAGACAATATATCCTCTCCTGCATCCCTGAACATTCCCACAGGAAATGCAGGACAAAGAACCCTAGAGAGATTGGTGCTCATCACCCTAGCTAAGCAGATGACAAGGGTTTCCCTTACCTGGAGATGCCCAGATGGAGCCTTGGACCAAGGTACTCAATGACAGAGCCCCATCCCCTTGTTCCCATGTCATAATTATGGACTATCTCTTAGCTGTCAGTTCAGAGGCAACAGGCATCCCTCCTCGAGCAAAACTGCACTTGAGCAATGTAAGTAAATCCCCTTTTTCATTCATCTTACTAAAAATGCTTGGTTCATTCTCACAACAGGGGTGAAGAGGTATTTCTGCTTCTCTTTCTCTTTCTCTTTCTCTTTCTCTTTCTCTTTCTCTTTCTCTTTCTTTCTCCTTCTTTCTCTCCAGATACATAAAGGCTACCAGATATTTTGATCTATGAGACTCCAAAATCTTCCACAAACCACAGAGAGTCAGTCTCTATCCCACTGGACCCCACCCTCCACCAAATTCAAAATCATCTCACCTTAGACAGGATTACGGCAATCTCGTGGGCATCCACCGCAGCACTTCTTAATACCAGGGCAGGACCAGTCATCTCTACACCGTGCAATGCAGATTCCCACACCTGGATCCCGGGGGCATCGTCCAGGCTTCTCTGCAAAACAGCAAAGCCCTCAGGGTGACCCTTGGGCTCCCTTTCCAACCTGAAAGTTCTAGTTAACTGATGGTCTGGGCAGCAGACAAAGCCTGTCCATCATGCATTGTGGTGGCCTTCTCCTCCTTGTGGGGCTCCTTGCCTCAACTGCCTCCTGCCTCCAGCCAGAATCCAGGTAAGCACTTCTGAGTATAGAGATTCTGCAATTCTTCATAAGTCACAATGGCTTTGGTTCATGAAGAGGAGGAGCTTCCTATCCCACCCCTCCCTCCACAGAATAAATGGTCTCACCTCTGACAGGATTAGCACAAGCTCGTGGGCAACTCCCGCAGCACTTCTGAGCTCCAGGGCATGACCAGTCATTCTCACACCAAACCACGCAGGGTCCAACCATACCTGGCTGTTCCCCAGGACATTGCCCAGGTTTCTCTGCAACAGAGCAGAATTCCAAGGTTGAGAGATGTCTTTGGCCAGAGAGGCTCTCTCTCTTCATGTGGGATGGGGCTCCTTTGCATCCAGTGGCCAGAGGAGCCCAGGATGCCTAAGGTGGCCTCTGTTTTGCTCAGGGGTCTGAGGTGTCACACAAAACTAGACTTCCCAATAGCACCCCACCCCTGCTGTAGGGTGGTCCCTGCACTCTCAGCAGCTCAGGAGCAGAACAAGTCCTGCCTTTCGGAGCAGCAGGAAAGAAAATTGCTCCATCTTCTATGTGGTGGCCCTTCAAGTATTCAAAGATAGCTCTCCTACTTACTCTTAGTCGTCTCTTGTCCAGGCTAAGCAGACCCAATAAAAAACAATAAATCAGCAGCAGCAGCATCTGCTTAATTGTGCTGTGTCCTCACACAAGGGGCTCAGCCTCTTACCTGGATTTATGCAGACCCTGGAGCACATGCTTGAACAGCATTTCTTGGGAAAAGGACAATCATAATCTTTAAGACATTCCTTTCTGCAAGGTGGCTTCACTACTGCAGGAAAGAAAGGGCAGCTTCCAGGTCTTTCTGCAAGACAGAACAATATTATGGCTCAGAGACAGCTTTTCAAAGGAGGGCAATAGTGGTGTAGAATTAGTTGTGGCTTTTCGCATCCCAGCAACCAAAGATTGCGTATTTCTAGGAGGAGCACAGCTCAGATGAAGAGGCTCCAAGTTTTTCCCTCCCTCCTAGCAGAGGGATGGACATCTGGGCTGAAGCTGGATCAGTCTTTGCTGGGGCTGGCCAAGTTTCCCCACTGTGGTCACTCCTATCCCTTGATGCAATGTTCTTTCCAGCTATGAAGTGGGCACCAGAGATTTCCTTCCTGCATCTGCTTCACCTTTAAAGCCCTAGGCGGCCTAGGACCCACGTACCTACGGGACCGCCTCTCCTGGTATGCCCCGCGGAGGACCTTAAGGTCCACAAATAACAACACTTTGGAGGTCCCAAGCCTCAATGAGGTTAGATTGGTTTCAACTAAGGCTGGGGCCTTTTCAGCACTGGCCCCGATGTGGTGGAATGCTCTGTCCCAAGAGACCAGGGCCCTGCGGGACTTGACAATTTTCCGCAGGGCCTGCAAGACAGAGCTGTTCCGTCTGGCCTTTGGTTTGGACTCGGTCTGACCCTTATGTTTCCCTCCCCCTATGGCCTTGATTTATCAGCTACTTTAAAATGAGGCTGCATTTTAAATTGCATTTTAACCTGTATTTTAAATTGGTTCCCCCCCCTCTCTTTTTCTCCTATTATGTTTTTACTGTGATTTTACTGGTGTTAGCCACCCTGAGCCTGGCTCTGGCCAGGGAGGGCGGGGTATAAATAAAATTTATTATTATTATTATTTATTAGTCTGCTTCTGAGGGGAAAGGACTTCCTCCCGTTGTTTGGTGGGGAGTTTTCTCAGAGACGAGGGCTACTCTTGTCCCTTTAGTATTTCTCAGGAGCGCTTGAAAGCCTTTGTGCCAGAAGCACAGTGAAGTCCTGGGGAATTGATAAAGCTAAGAATCTTAACAGCTGCTGAATGGCTGGATTCTGACCTCTCAGTTCTTGCTGAGCTCCTCAGTAAAAAGTGGACAAGCTCACAGGTCCCAGCTCTTTCCCATACACCCCACCTCCCTCTGATATAGGTGACATCCTATTGAAGGCGAGACTGGTGAACCCCAAGACCCCAGTCTGCTTCTGAGGGGAAATGACTACTTACCTTTTAGTGGAGTTTGGCAAGTGTGGCCACAGTTGTTGCTGCAGCACTTCTTGTCCCCAGGACATGAATTATCTCCAGAACATTCCTCCACACATAGTCCAAAGCCTTCTCGTGGGGGGCAGTATCCTGGCTTCCCTGGAACAGAACAACCACATGACTGCCGGGCAGTGGAGTGGGGGTCTTTTAAGTCAGCCCACTCTGGGCTCCAGGCTCCCTTCTAGATTGGAATTGGAAGACATCCCCAAGTCCAAGCCTCGGCAATGTAGGAACCACAGCTCAAGAACCTCTTGGAGACATCTGCTTTACTCTTGGGCTGCAGCTTAAGGGCTGTGGGTGGGTATTGGAGAGGGATCTCCATCCCTTCCCCCTCCTCTTCAGCTGTCATTCACAGAATCCTAGAACTGTAGATGTGATGGCCTGGGATTCAGACTCGGATGCTGAACCTGAGGGATCCCAGCCTACACAGGATTCCCTGCCTCCAGAACCAGCTGAGCCGGGGCTGGGGCATGAGCCTGAAGGGTCCTCACCTGTGCTGGATCCTCAGGTGCAGGCGTCAGCTGAGTCTGCTCTGGCTCCTGAGGTGATGGAGGACCCATTGCTCCACTCTCAGCCCCGTCAGGGGAAGCTGAGGTTGCCTCTGGGTCCGGTAACCCTCCAGCCTCTCCTGAGCTGCAGAGGCTCAGGGCAGAGAGGTTGAGGGAACTAAGTTCCCACAGGAGGAGTGCTCACCTCCAGGCCAGGAGAGGCGAGTCACCAGAGGATCGGGGCTGCCCTATGCCTTGGGACAGATAAAAGCCGGCCAGCCCCAGTCCCAAGTTGCAGGAGCAACATTGTTGGTTGCTAGTTCCTGCCTGAACCCTGTCCTGCTTTCCTGCCTGAGCTCCTGACCCGCCCTGGCTCCCTGCTTGCATGTCTGTTCTGACTTCACCTGACTCCCTGCCCTGCACCAAGCTTCAGCTACTACGGACTGCCTCCACGTTGCACCTTTGACCACGGGCCAGAATTGGACCTCGCCTCTTGGGTAACCCACGAGACCAGCACAGTAGAGTTGGAAGGGACCCCCAAGGGGCATCTAGTCCAACTGCCTCCAATGCAGAAATCAGAACTAACAAATCCCTGAAAGATGTCCTCTGCTAAAAAGCCTCCAATTTCGATGATAAATTTTGGAAGAGTTCCCTGCACAATTTAGTGCTAGCCTACAAAAGCAAGCCCAGCTGTGGGATTGTAAAGCCACTGGTGGAGGAGGAGGCAGAGGCTAGAGAAAGGACTTTGAGTGGAAAGTGTCCTTTCCCCATCCTGGGCACCCCTTGAGGAGCTCACCAAACCTGCCATCCCAGAAATTGGGCATGAAGGGGGTAAAAGGTAAAGGTAAAGGGGCCCCTGACCATTAGCTCCAGTCGTGACTGACTCTGGGGTTGCGGCGCTCATCTCGCTTTATTGGCCGAGGGAGCTAGCATACAGCTTCCGGGTCATGTGGCCAGCAGGACTAAGCTGCTTCTGGCGAACCAGAGCAGCGCACAGAAACACCGTTTACCTTTCCGCCGGAGCGGTACCTATTTATCTACTTGCACTTTGACGTGCTTTCGAACTGCTAGGTTGGCAGGAGCAGGGACCGAGCAACGGGAACTCACCCCGTCACAGGGATTCGAACCGCCGACCTTCTGATCGGCAAGTCCTAGGCTCTGTGGTTTAACCCACAGCGCCACCCGCATCCCATGGATGGGGTAGGTGCCTGCTGAATGGGACACAGGTGTTGGAAGCCTCCATCCAACCTTGATGGCTGCTTCCTCTCATTTCAAGAGAGCTCTATGGTTTGTTGCAGCTGATGTCAATCGAAACAAGAGCCATAAACTGCAGGGGGTCCAGGGTAGAGCCCCCTTAAACACTCCCAGACAGACAGCCCTCCATGGCTCAGAAATGCCTGCTCCTCTGGAGGATCTGAACTCCGCACACAGAGCAGCAGCAGAAGAAGAAAAGACGTGTAGAGAGAGCCTTGCTCAGGTAGAAAGGGCTCCATCTTTCAGGCAGGGTCCAAAGGGGGTCACATACCTTGGCCAGAGGCAGAGTGCACCACAGCACAGAGAGAGAGGAGCCCCGCGAGGAGGAAGATGAGAGCACCAGGCCTCATGGCTAGGCAGGTCACTGTGCCCTCCAGCCTCCAGCCAGGTGGTTTTTATAATTCCCCAATGCAGCAGGAGCCCCACCCAGACCAGAGAGGAGACAATGAGGAAAGGTGGTGCTGGCAAATGTTCCCGCATTGCACAAGAAACTATGAGGAGAATGTAAAGGTCGTGGTCCCTCAGCAAGCTAAGATCAAAGGGGCCACTTCACATTGCGTTCTCCATTTGCAATCTAATTTCCCAGAAAGTGTCTCAGGGGTCAATGCTCCTTTTGCAAAACAAATGTCATTGTGCAGAAGAAGTGGGGAGATGTTGGGGAAATGGGAGAGGGCTTTTGCACGCCCTGGGTATGGCTCCATCTGGGCTCTGGTATTATAAACCAGTGGCTGAGAGGCTGGAGGGCGCTCCATCCTGCCTAACCATGAAGTCTGGTGGCCTCCTCATCTCCCTCCTCCTTGGGCTCTTCACTCTCTGTGCCTTGATTCCCTCTGCCAAGATAGGTCATCCCTTTTGCACCCTTCCCTTTCCTCCAAGGGCAAGACTATCTGGACAGTTCTAGTTCCCACATGGGCGGTGGTCTTCTGGACCTTTTCGTGCTCCAACGCCTCTGAGATGTTCAGGAGAGAGAAGAACAGGAGGGTTTCTGTCATGGAGGTCTGGCAAGTGACTTTCCCAAGAGTGTTTAAACAGTGGCTTTAGCGGTGATTCCAGCATTGGTGGAGGTTAGATTAGATGAGCCTTGGGGTTACCTTCAAGCTCTACTTTTCTATGATGCTATCCTATTGTCAAGGAGTTATCAGGCGAGCTCAGGTCATCCACAGGGCTGGAAAGAACGTGAGGCATGAAATGCAATTAGCTTTTATTCACAGAAAGCAACAACACAACTGAGTCACTCTGGCTCGACTTAGCTTGAGCATAGCTGTCAACGTTTCCCTTTTTTAAAGGGAAATTCCCTTTTTCTGAATAGGATTCCTTGCAAGAAAAGGGAAAAGTTGACAGCTATGAACTTGAGACGTTGCTGGAAATGTTGCCTTCTAGTCTCTCACACTGGATCCCTCCTATTCCATGGAGGAGGAGAGCCAGTAGCAGAGGCAACCTCTGAATCCTCTCTGTCCAGGTCCTCTTCTTCCATGTCCTCCTGGACAGGTAGCAGCACCACTCTTCCTCATCCAGCCAGTCCCTGACACCTACCATGCAGCTCCACTGAAGGTCCTATGTTTGCAGCATGCATTTCCCCCTATGGACATGAACATGAGAATCTTTCTTTCCTGCTGAAGCAATCTAGAGGATTCTGTGTTGAGAGTAGGAGCCACAGCTGCAGCCCAGCACCAGGGCAGAAGGGTTAACATGCAGGGGGAGGAGGTCTCTGAGGGACAGGCCTCAGTTGGGGAAGGCCCAGCATCAAGCCAAAGGCGGAGGCCTTGCAGAAAAAAAGGAGCCAGCCTCAGCCTTCTCCTCTTCCACCCCTTTCCCCTTGACATGCCATTCCTCTGCAAAAGGCCAAGGGTAAAACATAAGATACTTACAGATATAGAAGACAGAGACGGTTTTGCCCTCCCAGACCTTAAATTATATTATGAATCTGCACGACTGGTATGGATTAGGGACTGGATAAAGTTGGAAAAGCAAGAAGCATTAGAATTGGAAGGACATGACAATAGATTTGGATGGCACACATATCTATGGTATGGGAAAGGGAAAGTACACAAAAGTTTCTATAACCACATAATTAGGAAATCATTAATGAGAGAATGGGAGAAATATAAAGATTTACTAGAACAGAAGACTCCTTGGTGGCTTTCACCACATGAAGCTTTGCGGCTCAAACCACTTGGAAAGAAAGGAAAGTGGCTCACGTATGCAGACTTGTTAAAGGGCCAAGAAGTAAAATGGAAATTAAGAGATTATGAGGAAATAAAAGACCATTTTCAGAATTGGTTACACTATCGGCAATTATACGAGATATATAAAGAAGACAATAAGAAAGGATTCAGTTATACAACATCTAGATTTCAAAAGGAAGTTGTGGAAGGGAAAGTAAAGTTGCTGAAAGGTGCATATAGTATCCTGCTAGAATGGGAAACAAAAGATGAGGAGTTGAAATCAGTCATGATTAAATGGGCACAAGACATAGGACGTGACTAGAGGTGGGCGTGGCCTCACCTGTGAGGCAATGACAAAAAGCACAGGGCAGGGCAGCCATCTCTCTCTCTGTGTGACTACTTTCATGGAAGAAGCAACATCTGCTTAGCCAAAGATGCTCTCTTGGCCTCCAGCCAATAATAGCCTCATTATAACAATACCAATTTGTAATACAATTATTAATACCAATCGTTCAAATACCAAATTATATAATTTAGATAAAGTGGCCTCCCGCGTGCTAGATTTGATGAATTGATTATTTGCTTTATTTCTGCATCCCAAAATCTTATTAATGTCCCTTACATTGACATCATAATAATAATCCCTTATACAATAACTGCAGTATTAACAACTTCTATCTGTGTTTGACACATTAAATGATTTATAAAGCTGCAAGTTAGGATCTCAAACTATATCCTTGTTCTTCCTGTGTGTGGCATTTATTCCGTCCATGGCCCTGTCCTTGTAAGTTATTTTGTCTTTCTTTCCCCTGGTTGTTGCTGTTATCCGTTGTTGCTGTTATGCCTTGGGTGGAGCTAATATTCCATTGTGGTTCCAGAAATTTGTTTTGCAACTAACAACAGCTGCAAAAGTAGTTCTGTCCCAATAAATAACCTGTTTTCACCATTTACCCTCTCAGCCTGGGAGGAAGAACGGTCTGTCAAACTGCAGATAACTCAATAATGAACCTTATCAGTTCCTTGACAGTTCACAGATTCCTTTCATCCTTCCTTCCAGCTGAAGATAAATGAGCAATTATACTTCCAATTAAATTAAATTTCAAGTCCTCTTAGCATTTTTCAGTGCACTCCATATATAATAAAGGATGGGGAAGAGTCTTAGAGCTGACTCTAAAGTTCCATCGTAAACCTTTTGCAAAATAGAGCTTACCTCTCTTTTTCTTTTTACACACAGAGTTCCGTTTGATGTTATATTCCATATTTATAATCCAATTTATTCCACCCTCACTTCTACAAATATACTTTGAACTAATATTCAGAGGAGGGTGGCCGAATCATAAATGTAGAGAAGAAAACATTTAATAAAGAAACTTTATTAAAATACATTCTTTAAAAAAGAAGAAGCATTTTTACTTGGTATTATAGGCCAAGACAGTAGTAGACAAGATGATAAACTGTTTTTATATGCAACAACAGTGGCAAGAGTATTGTTAGCCCAGAAATGGAAGCAAGAAGAAATTCCAAGGAAAGAAGAATGGCAGACAAAATTAATGGACTATGCAGAATTGGACAAAATGACAGGAAGAATTGAAAACCTGCGGGACCAGAGATTTACAGAAGATTGAAAGAAGTATATGAACTATTTGAAGAGCAACTGTAACCAAAAAATTACACTAGTAGGACTACAAGAAGTTTTGTAAGGAGAAATATACGAAGTGTTACAAAGCAGAAAAGATAGAGATATTGGTTATGAGTTTTAAATGTAATAGGGAAAATAAGAAATGCATACTAAGAGATTAGATTGGAAAATTTTCAGACAGGACTGCTAGAAGTCAAAAAAAATGAATAAGATGTAAAAGTATGTTTAATTACTGTTGAAAATGATATGTTAAAAAACTGATAAAATTTTATTTAAAAAAGAAAAAGAAAGAAATTTTAGGCTCCACCCCCCCCGCCCCCCATCTTTTGCAACGAATGAAGTCTTATCTCAAGTTCAAACCTTAAAGTCCTGGCAGTTGGTTTTGTTCCACAGTTTGCGATCTCATCTCTTCTAGCACGTACCTGTACTTTAGCCCAATTAAGCTCTAATTAACAAGAGAACCTCTGCTTCCTAATGGAGGGTTTTCAATAGGCAAAGTGCTTTTGCACTCAGTGCCTCTCTGCCCCCCAAATTCCATTCTCTGGGGGGAATTTGCAAGGATTGATGCCCAAACCAGATAAAATGACAATAGTAATTTTAACAAGCACTGTTTTTGCAATGTACTGCAGGGGCTAAAACGTAAGCACTGAGGCACTTAAGGCTCTGTTTGTACAAAGACAAAATCTCTCCAGCACAATTCCTTATTGTTCCTTTATTCCTTTGTTCCAGATGCTCAGACTGGCAGCCGCCCCAATAACAAATGACTTCCAAGAATCCTGAATGTGCCTATCTGCCAAAGGTGTGCACAGACCCTGGGGGTCTCTGGCGGAGCTAGCTGCTCGGGGGCTGGAGCGTCGGGGGGTGGAGTGAGCCGCCCATGGTGGACATTTGGCACCCCCCCCAACTCCCAAGCCTCCCCTGAGCTGTCAAAATGAAGGGGGAAGTTTAGTGACCTTATGCTGCTTTCAACCTGCTCTTATCCTATGAGCATTTGTCTATAGATGTCTTTATTTGCTTACTGGATCTAAAATTAATTGGGGGGGGAGTGATATTGGATGAGCAGTAGGAAAAAGGCATCTAGAGCAGTGGTTCCCAACCTCTTTTTTTGGCCATGCCCAACCTAAGCATCTCTAAAATCTTGATGCCCCCACCCCCGACATATACCGGTAATTCTTATTATTCAAAAAGTGAGCTCCTATTCAAGTGGAGGAAGCCTAAAAGGCCATTAACTTCGTCTAACTTATCTTCGAATTGCGCCCCCCCCAAAAAAAAATCAAATTACCCCACATTGGGAACCACAGATCCAGAAGAACGTTGTGAGGAAGCAATTAGCTGGGACATGAAAAGATATGGAAGGGACTAGCTTTCGCAGATTGCATTGCAAGAAAAACACAATGGGCGCCGCGGCCACGGGAAGGAGCGCGAGGCAACTCGTCTGAGGAGCCTCGAACAGCGTGGGGGTCTTAGAGGGGTCACGAAGGCTCCGTGAACCCCTAAACCACAGGTGGAATATCCTGTTGGTCAAAACACCCAGCAAGGCTGCGTGTGCTCGCCTGTGTTGCCGGCGTTTAACAAGGCTGGAGCCGCAGCGAGAAGGGGAAACATCAGACTCCATGCTGTGAAGCCTCAGGCTCCGAGTGAAAGCGGCGGACCTCCAACAACAGAGGAAAAGCTGGGAAATAGTTCTAAAGCTTTGATGAAAGCAGAGGAGGGAGAACACTGGAAAACAATCAAAGTAAAAACAAAAGGAACGTTGAATGAAGTTGAATGAAGTACCCAGCGGAGAAGTAATTAAAGACAAAGGAAGGAGGAATTCACTACTGGCGGTAAGAATGATAAAGGAGTAAAGCGAAAAGCTGGCAGACGTGAATGAAAGAGCAAGAAAGTAACCGCTAGCGAGGGGAAGGAATATCCTCGATAATAAAGTACATTTTACAAAGTACAAAGT